TTAGTTACCATTTAACAGTACATTTATTGCAAAAACTATTTAATTGTTACTTCAAATATCTAATGTCACTACTGTCTGTTGCGTCTGGGATATTTTTATCGATACGCGAACATCACTAGACCGGTCAAGGACCGCAACCTGTTTGACCGGATGTGTAGGGTGGATAGGTATGAAGGGAAATTATGGATTTTTACACTTGGTTACCCTAAGAAACTTTACGACACCTAATTATACAGAGTTGTACAAATATTTTAATTTACTTACTTTTTTCTAAACCAATGTACTGCTTTGGTTAGTGGAAACTTACACATTACTCATGACTACGTGCTTTATAATAGTTTATAGTCTAAGATCCGACTGCAAGATTCATGATATATTAAATTAAAATATTTGCCCAGTGTCAGTAAAATTTGACCTTATCTAAAATTTAATATTATCACATGCGGCAAATGCATTTTCATCACAATTTAATAAAGTAGGGAAGATGCAGCCATACCTCGTACTAGATATAATTCTTTCGTAGACTAATACATGCCGGGATGGGGCCGAAATCGCTAATTTCCTAAGTTGGCGGTGTTTTAACGTAAACATAAATAAAATGCTAAGATTAATAATTGTAAGATATAAGGACTCGGTTTTGACAATTAATAAACCAAGAACCCACTCGTGCGGTGCAGTCAGCCTATATTTCTAAAATAGGTATGGTTTTATATAATATAATTTACACAGATAAGCAAAATTATTTAAACTATGATACTGAAACAGTATGATAATAATACATACAAACATCGCATAGTTTTTTTACACAAACTCTATGAGTATTCTGTGTGTTATGTCTGTTTTTTTGTGTATATGGTACGTCTCAAATATGTGTTATAGAGTTCCTATAGATAGAAAAAACGTGTGTATACTTATGTAGTATGTACACACGTTAGAAGTTACAAAGTTACTTCTTTGGCGTAACAAGATAGAAATCTTTTCAAAAATTAAAATGCGATGACTCATTAATCAGTATTAATGAATTCATTGTAATAATTCATAAATATTTATTAAGTTAAACTTCCCTCATTTCAATATACAGAATACATATTATATATATACTTGCGGCTTTGCATGGCTGACTGACATGAGTTTATTTTGGAAAATAGACTTTTACTCAGGGATAGTGAATTTTAATATTTCTTACTTACGGCTTACTTATTAACCTTCTATGACACGTATATTGAGATCAACCTCACGCGAAACAATATCCTTTAATGTACCTATTATCTTAGGGATACGATAAATTGGAAGCAAGACGGGACCTACAGTTGGCCTACTATATACTGATTCTTGCGGAAGGTGATCAGCGTCCTCCAAGAACTCGGTTTCTTTGTACCTATAGGATATGTGTGAAGGTTGTTTGCGATACCAAGTGCCAGAATCAGTCTTGCATAGCCCTGTTAACGAAGACGTTGCGCTTACTGAATGCTGTCTCCGACACTATCGACATATTAATATTCGAAGAGTGAATTCACAGAAGCAATATTGTGTATATTATATTTTTATTAGTATTGTAAGGATAATGTATGTATTTCTGTAAATAAATAAATAGGTACTTAATTCCTCGCTAGAATTCAGGCCCAGGTCTTCTATGTTACTCCCTATGTCCATTAACCCCATTTCAAATTACGTTGAAATTGATACGAGCTATGTATCTTTATAAAGACATTGAAAGCTCCTTTGCAATGAATTGCAATGACGCTATCAGCATGTGTCCGAATATCGCGTCTCACGTCGTGGGAATTCTTTTTTATTAAACACGGCGAAAATTTGTCAAATGAAAACAATTTTACCCCATGAGGTGAGAACGTAAAAGTAGACTGAACGATCGCATCTTCTATTTCGCGACATGAAACATCATGATAATATGACCGATTGTCTAATCACAAAAAGTTCGATATACGTCCTATACTTCGAGTTTTCCATCCTTTCCCTGGTGAGTGATAACTGATAACAACGACAACAATGTATTACACCAGCATTTTAATAACAATCAATCAATAACAATCTAAAGTACCAATTCTGTCAAAAGACGATTTCGTAACATCGTATCGTAAGTGTTTATGAGATTAAGGGTATGAAAAATGTGATAAGATTTTTAGTACTTTGTTACTTTCTTTGACTTGACTTACCTATGTCCCCCAGATAGGGCAGAAGGCATCCAAACTAGCCTTATTGGTCTTGAGCAGCTCTCTGCTTCGTTCAGTGTTGTTCATTGCCAGGTTTGTTTTGGGCAGCCAGGTTTTTGCCTTGGGGATTGCAGTGCGATTTGGGTTTCTGAGGTGTGTATGGCACACCCACTTCCAGTTTTTGTTGCATAGTTCTGTCTTGGCGTACGATACTTAACTACGAGAACTATAGATAGGAAAGAAGGAATACATTTAAAGATTGGCTTCTTCGAGAGAGAAAATGTCGGTTACTTAAAGGTACTGGACTGGTGATGATAGATTTTTATCCACTCACTTTGAACTCTCAGCCTTCAATAGATAGAGAATGGAGTTAGGAGAAACTTCATAGGAGGCAAAGTAGAGTGACATTATATAGCATATTTAGAGGACTATTCAAGAGGCAAATATTTCCATTCAAACCAGCAGTATCTGAGATTAGTTCAAACAAACTTTTTTTAAATAATAAAGCAATGTTTAATACAAAAACAGTTTTCCTAAGATATAATTTTTCCACTATGCTTCAAGCTCCTTACGACAAAGAGCCGTCCCAGATTCGAAGGCTTTCGAGGAAAGCGACCCTATTGAAATCTTTTGCAACGTGTATTGGCCCTCACACACGACCTACTAACGCCGGGTCAAACTTAAACATGTGGCTTTTAGAAATAAAAACGTTTATTATAAGCAAAATTGCAGCAACGTTACCACGCAACTTCATTATTCTCTCTGATTTGAGAATACTAGGAAGCTAAGTAAATTAGGGTTTTTACGATAATAATGTAACAATTCTGAGCCTGCCATTGTTATTTTCATGAGTTGGTATTATCGCGCAATCTATTAATTGCGTCTAATTTATATATTTATTTATTAGACGCGCAAGAACTCGTGGGCTTGTGGTGCGATGAAAGTCGCGTCTTCGAATCTTAAGACCATACCTAAATTACTATTATTAATTATTATTATTAAAAAGTCTCTGAGACTCGTATTTAGCCAATGCCAGTGCCAATCATTGACTAATTACGATATAATAATATCTGTATATTGAAGTTATGTGGTAAGCTTACAGGAGTAGGCTAACTCAAAGTCTAGCAAGGAATCAAAGTAAAACTTGTTTTCTATAGATATAACTTAGAAATTGGTATAACATTATCTATATTATAAAAATATATACATTTCATTCAATTAAATAAAAAATTCAACAGTCTTTTGAAGTTTAAAATTTTCTAATCAGGTCAACTAATTATTTTCATTTCATTCTAGTATTAAAATAACATTATTTGAAATTGGCATTTGTGTGTGTTAGCTACCTACTATTATAACAAGGACTTCTGGAATGAGTCTCTAGTAACTTCAACAAAATCATGGGTTTTTTTTTTTTCACGGGAAATGAAACTTTTTTTTTTTGTTTCTGCTTCGTGGCAATCTGCTATCCAGCAATAAGCCACTTGTTTGTTTGATTTTACTCAGTTCATGTTATCCTCAAGAGCCATACTCGACATAGAGCCACGACTCTCTTGATGTTAAGAGGTAAATCTTTTATATAGGCTCGGTACGTCCCTTCTTTTTAGCCGCTTATGCTGAAGACCGCCTTCTCCGCTCAGAGCGTGTGCCAGTTTATTTACATGGGAGGTCAGCTTCTCCTGGTATTTCAGGCTGTTTTGAGCTATTTCCTGTCGAACTGTTTTCAGGCCGAGGTCGGGGGGGGTATATGTACCTATTTGCTTATACAATGTGGGATGCCAAACATTGTTCTCAGAGCTTTGGTCTGGAATCTCTCCAAGATATCTATGTTGCTGTTGCTGGCCGTTCCCCACAGTTGTATCCTGTAAGTCCAGATTGGTTTTCAGGTGGTTTTATACACTAGCATCTTGCTGTTAGGATTAAGTTGTGATTTGCGTCCCAGTAACCAGTTCAGTGTCCGCAGCCTTCCATCCAGTTGTTTGCCCTTTGTCCAAATATGTTTTTGCCATGTAAGTTTCCTGTCTAGGTGCATGCCCAAGTATTTTGCGTTATTTTCTTGAGGGATAACTTTGCAGTTTTACGTTACCGGAGGACATGTTTCTCTCCTAAGAGTAAACGTTACATGTACCGATTTGTCTGTTGGCTTTAATTCTCAATGCTTCAGCCACCTCTCAACTTCTATCAGGCGGTTTTGCAACTGTGATGATGCCGTTGGGAAATGAAACTAAAAGTAAATCTATTTCATAAATTTTTAATCATTGAACTACAAAATACCTATGGATATATATCAGAAATATGATTGTTGAATGCCATCAATAAATAAATGAGTCACTTTCAATACAACTTTTGTCTTGTTAACAAATTATATGTTTTATTTTTTTTGCAACAAATTATATTTTACCATCGTGTCATCTAGCCGTCAAAATAAACATTACAAAGGAGGTTGATAGGGGGCCTCATAGCCTAGAGGTCTTATTAAGTGGCAGCTAGGTGAGGGGTACCAGTTCGATTCCCGGTTCGAGGGCAAGTTTTAATTTAATTTAAAATTTGTTCTCGGCCTTTGGGAGGGTTGTGCGGTACCGGGCGAGTGCTTAAACAGTACATGAAGGACACGGTCCAATTTCTAAAGACAACGACGAAAAAAAACATATAGCTGGCTAATGCACAAATCGTGCCAGAGCCATAAAAAAAAAAAGGAGGTTGATACCAAGAAGTATATATTCGCCACATACTCTTCCAAGCGACGCCATGGCAACAGTGTTATTGACAAAACTTCATTTTTGATCACCTTTACTTAAAACCTAATAAAAATGTTATAAATAAAACAGGACTATGAAGTTACTAAAGTTCCACCTTCGGTATCATCCCCCAGGCCTGGTGCTGGAGTATATTCAAAAAGGTCTCATAAAGAATAAGGATATTGATATTCTGGACATGAACTGCAAGTAAGTGTTTGCATCGTAATGCATTTCGGAAACCAGGTTAAAATAAGATTCTATAGATCTACAGCAAGTACTTTGACCGTAATTACGTCATGTAAACCTTGAAAAAAAGGGTTTACCTATAACAAACAGACAGCCTGTTAAATTTACCTCCTTCATAAAATCAATGAAACTCTTTCTTTTCGTTCTATCAAATTATTTTTCGCTGTGTTGAAAAGAAACAAATGAGTAGTTTAAAAAGTACTTTATGATGTTTTATGAATTAAGGGGTTCCTAGTCATATGGGTGTTGTGTTAGTGTTCGGAAAGACGCAGATGAACCCTATCATCCTGAAAGTCCAATAAATCCGCCTTTTTAGTAGACTTATACATTTCGTCATGATCGTAGAACAATGTCGGATTTGAAAAAAAACCAAAATCCACTTTTTATCACATTTAGATACTACATTGACTAAATATTACGACTACATTATAAAAAAACTTCCATGTTTTTTAAATTTCAAATTAATCAGTCGGTAAAGTGACTGATTTGATTGATTTTTCTAGAAAACTTTGTAATTTAATGTTATTATTTTGTTTCAAAACAAACCATTTTGTTTGCTTGTATGCCAATTTTCACAGTTACAGAATATGAATTAAAAAAGTTATGACAATAAAACTAACATGATTATATTATTTTTAAATGGCTGCCCTGTAAAGTTATTATTAGCTATTTGTCAGATCTGTCACTATTATACGACTATGACGATTTGAATGATCCCAGAGAGTGCCTTAATAGTCACGTTGCACAAAAAGCTCATCAAAAATTACCAACTCCGTGGTTATGTTGGTAAGACGGTTTTTGTAGACTAGAGTTCCTGAGTTCGTCAGAGAAGTAATATTTCGGTCATATTGGCAGGCACAAAAGGCTGGTCAAAGTCAAAGTCAAATCTTTATTGCATTCCTTATGTTCATACTTTACAGGTGACATGTTATAACTTTGTTACAATAAAGACCTTAGACACAGCAATGTTGTGAGAGGGCATGCTTTATTATACTTAATTCTATTCTTATACATTTTTAATCTTATAAGTAGATACATTACTTATTTATTATATTTGCTTTGGCTTCACGTCGCGACAAAAGAATATGTACATTATTAATAAACATCTTATAAAAAGAAATTAAAATCTTTCAGTCAGATATACTGTAACGATATAGTAACATTTCTTATATAACAATTCTTTTAACAATTTGATACACTTCAAGTTTATGACATATTTTTATTGAGGATGTATTGTAGTGAGTAAAGGTGTAATTTCAAGTCAACGTCAAAATCATTTATTCATATAAGCAACACAATGTTCACTTATGAACTGTTAGGCCGTGTAATTAAAATGCCTTTTTAAAAAAAGGATTTAATTAAAATAATAGGTACAATACAAAAATTAGACAACCGCTCTCTAAGAATGATACACGCAGACTGACTGAAGTCGCTAGGATCGTAATCCTCTAAAAGTATGCATTGATGATGCAGATGATGAGTTAGCATTATGGCTAGCAATCTAGGGATGTAACAGAACGTAAAAAAATAAATACATATATATTAAATGCTTCTTATTTTACGTAAAACGGACGAGAAGAACGGGCTATAAACTCTCTGCCACTCTTTTTAATCGTCAAGTTTTTTGTTTTGCACAATGTTTGTAAGCTGCAACCATTACCATGTTCCACATGACATCTTAAGTAGTCAATAGTTAATTAATAATAATAAAATAAATTAAAAACAAAGATTTGTCCTCTATCAGCAGGAGGAATGGTGAAATAGGAGCACGCACTTACATTCTCCTAGGAGCAACACGCAAATTTATATATAATATGTTTATATCCGTTAAAAGTTTTATTTAAATGATGACTAGTTATCTTCTTGAACATGTTACAGTACCGACATTCAAGAATTGGCAACGAAGCTCTATCAACGCGAGGTTCTGATCACAGATGATGTTAGGAACCAACTGGAGCAATGTTTGGAGACTTTAAAGAAGCGAATCGAGCATGAAGGCCCAATGGGCAAGAGGTTTTATATTTACAAGACATTGGTCACCCACGTTTTGCCGCTTACCAACGTTTGCTTTGATAAAATTGGAAAGAGGTATTTAACGTAATTTTACGTAAGTTATGGTGTAGTACTTCAGATAACTGGTGCTGTCTATCGTTGCTTATGAATATGAATATTAATAATTGTTGAAAAAACCGTTTTAATTCCCTTAAAGGTTTCTCATATATGTGTCGAGAAGTGATATCCTAGCGGCTTCGGCGTGCGACTCTTATCCCTGCGGTCGTAGGTTCGATCCTCCCGGCTGTGCACCAATGGTCTTTCTATGTGCGCATTTAACATTCAATCGAACGGTGAAGGAAAACAACGTGAGGAAACCGGCTTGCCTTAGACCCAAAAAGTTGACGGCGTGCGTCAGGCACAGGATGCTAATCACCTTTTTGCCTATTAGATTGACAAATGATCATGAAACATGGGTCTGAGGCCCATACCTAAAAAGGGTGTAGCGCCATTGATTTATTTTATTTATTGAAGTATGTGGTTTATTTTATTAATAAGGTTTCTCAAAGGCCTAAATTTATTTTATTAAATATAAAAACATATAAAATAGTACATTATGGATGACCGAGTTTCTTTACAAATTTTTCATGATTTCACCTATACTTTTTTTTTAATTATTAAGATGGAACTGTTTTAATAGTTGTAAAGTTTTATAATATAACTTTCAGATGTTTGTCAGGAAGTTACGACCGGACCTGTAAGGTTTGGGATGTGGATTCAGGCAAAGAATTGAAGACGCTCGCTGGTCATCAAAACGTTGTATATTCTGTGGCGTTTAATTTTCCAGCCTGGTACAGTTTTATTATTTCATTTGGAAAAGTAATTTTCTATAAAGGATAGAATTAAATCACTGAAATAAAATGACGTACTGTTTTATAATATTAATATTAAAAATAGATTTACACTTCAACTAAGTAATTCTTTCATCTTTATTTACAAGCTTGAAGAATACACTCTTTACTTACCTATTGTAGTGGCAACTTTATATCAGATTATTTGACTGATAATTGACTGAAAGACTTGTTAATAAAAAAACTGCGTTTTCAGTAATCGCGTAATAACAGGATCCTTTGACAAGACGGCTAGAATCTGGAAGCCTGAGACGGGTGAATGTCTGGCGACATTATGGGGTCACGCTGGCGAAGTGGTTGCCGCCCAGTTCAGCGCGAAGGGAGATCATGCAGCCACTGGCTCTATGGATACCACAGCTAAGCTCTTCGACGTTAGGACTGGTTTGTATAAAGACATTAATTTTGACTTTGTTTTGTGATACTTTACTCAAAAAAGGTGAAATTATTTTTTTCCACGAAAATCGATTTTTGTAGTAAGTATCTCCTTTCATGTTAAAATCGCTAGCGTATAATTGTCGGTAAATAAATTCACAAGTCGCATGTGAATTGTGAATTTATTTACTTTACAATTTACATTATAAAGGCCTATTATAATGTAAATTGTAAAGGATTAAACGAAGGATGCTCGAACAATTGTTGGTTGAGCCAGTTCTTACTTTAAAATGTACATGATTTGTCAGAAAAAATATTGCTTGGGTTGGTTGCTAGTTCCTTTGAAACTCATACATACACGTTTTTTTTTTTTTTTATAGAACGGGGGCAAACGGGCAGGAGGCTCACCTGATGTTAAGTGATACCGCCGCCCATGGACACTCTCAATGCCAGAGGGCTCGCGAGTGCGTTGCCGGCCTTTTAAAAATTGGTACGCTCTTTTCTTGAAGGACCCTAAGTCGAATTGGTTCGGGAATACTTCAGTGGGCAGCTGGTTCCACATAGTGGTGGTGCGCGGCAAAAACTGCCTTGAGAAACGCTCAGTTGTGGAACGTCGGACGTCGAGGTGATACGGGTGGAATTTCGTATTCTGCCTGGACGTCCGATGATGAAACTCAGCTGCAGGTATTAATCCGAACAACTCCTCTGAACACTCTCCATGGTAAATGCGGTAGAAGATGCAGAGTGACCCCACATCTCTACGCAACGCCAAAGGATCAAGCCGCTCGGAGAGGGATTGGTCGTCGACGATTCGAACCGCTCTGCGTTGTATACGGTCAAGTGGAAGGAGCTGGTACTGGGGAGCCCCCGCCCAGAGGTGAGAGCAGTACTCCATGTGGGGCCGAATTTGCGCTTTATATAGTTGCATGCGGTGGCCCGGAGTGAAGTACCGTCTCGCCTTGCTGAGCACACCAAGCTTTTTGGAGGCTAATTTAGCTTTTCCCTCCAAGTGACCGCGAAACTGAACGTCGCTCGATATGTCAACGCCAAGTATTCCAATGCTGGCTGTGGCTTTAAGAAGAGTGTTTTCGAAAAGAGGAGTAGCGACAAAGGGTGTTTTTTTAGCGGAAAACGCGCAAACTTGTGTCTTCTTGGGGTTAAATTGGACTAGGTTTTGTCTGCCCCAATCTGAGACTCCACGAAGTAGAGTTTCAACTTCAGACACAAGTTTGTTCCGGTACTCATCAACAACTGCCCGAGAAATACCTGCCCTTAATAACGTTTAATTTCTGGTTTTAATTATTTGTCTATATTATAAGGTTAATGCTCTCAGTGCAGCTGTTACACAAAATATTTAACACTGATTTTCAGGCACGGAGATCAACACATACACTGGGCATACAGCGGAGGTGATAGCTCTTCAGTTCGACCCTAATGAAGGACAGCGACTCATTACAGGATCTTTTGATGGCACCATCTCTATATGGGATACGAGACTTAAAGAGTAAATATAAGTCATGTCAAGTTATGTGTAAACATAGACCCTTTTTGCTAATATTATATCAGAAGGCGTTTAAAATAGTCGTGAATATTTATAACGCCTGCCAGTATAAAAAAAATATTTCTATCAATTTTTAATACTTATTAATTTCGAAAGCGAAATAGATTTTTTAATTTTAAACAAATCATTATATTTTACTAAACGTTTAAGTAGCTGCTCCCGCATATTATACGCAACATTTACGCATGACAATAATTTTATAAAATGACACTTAAAAGTTCGACAATTTACATTTACATCGAAAATTCTACAGTCGTGTATCGGTACTGAGAGGCCATGAAGGTGAAATATCCAACGTCCAGTTCAACTGGGACAGCTCCCTTGTAGGATCATCTTCCCTGGATGGGAGCGCGAAGCTCTGGGACGCTAGGAAGACAGAATGTCTTGCAACTGTCGCGGGGCACACGGATGAGGTACGAACCCTGTGCCAATGTTAATTTTTCAATAGACGACTTTCCAATCAATGTCTTCGTATTATCATTGATTGGTAATAAACGCATTCTGAGCTTTTTTAATGCACTTGCTTAAACTTTTTAACCATTGCTTGATTTGGTTTTGTCTGTATTCAATATTGTTCGAAATAAAAATGAAACTTGCTAATTTTCAGGTGTACGTAAAAAATAACGCCTGATAAAATAGTGACACAAACTTTATAGTTAAAAATTGCTGTTCAAGACTCGGTAACTCGTATATAAGACTCCCATGTGTCAAAAACTTATTGAATTTAAATAATATTCTTAAACAAAAGAAGGTCAGACTTTATGGTTAACTTAGTATTGGGTAAGTCATGAGTCCGAGAGTCTGTCCTACATTTCAAAAGTAATTCAATGCTAGCATATCGTACCTAGGAAAAAGAAGGAAAAAACGTCCAAAATATTAATTAAAATATTCTCAACTGTATTAATCTAATGTACAATATTGACCTTCCGGGTCGCTCACTCGTACTTACTCGTTTACCATTGTACCGTGGGTCAAACGCATGTCTTTTAATTTTAAATGAATTTTATTGTTAACTGTTAATTACACCAAGGTGCTAGACATCTGCTTTGACTGGGCCGGTCAACGCATGGCAACATCTTCGAGTGACTGTTCAGCTCGCATCTATGACGTGAAATCGGATTTCAAGGAGCTGGCTGTCATGAGGGGACATAGGGAGGAGGTTTCTAAGGCATGTTTTAATAGTTTTCTAGTTCATTCGGATAAGTTAATTACAAAATATATTGGTAAATCGAAATTTGAATAATTCCTACGTTTTTACGTTCTACGTAAAGGGGCCGTTCAAGTATTACGTAAGCACTATAGGGGGTCTTTGATTTTCTTTTGGGGGGGGGGCCGGCCTTAGTGATTACGTCAATTCAGTAATTAATTACTTTTTTACACATATTACCCACACATTGTCTATGCTTGAAAACGAAATGAGTTTTCGAAGATTCCTACAAAAAATTAATACGTTTATATATTATTATTTTTGACAGCTTTGCTTACGTTTGCTGACAAGAGTAATGGGGGGTGAATTGCAGTAAATCTGCTTAAATTCAAGTTTATTAAAAACAATGGTGTTGTCCCTCTTACCGAGTTCAATAAAGGAAGTCAGTTTAACCTGCAGTTATGCCACATTGTTGGTAGTGGATAATATTTTAGAATGACGATCTGTTTAGGTATTCAAGCGCGTGTACTAAATGTCGCGGAAACTAACTAATGATCCTTTTTAAATTTATATTTGAATCACGTATATTGAAAGGAACAGTCCAAGTTTCAGTTGAAATCAGTAGTTTTTGAGATATCAGAACCTATCCACGTAGGTATTTTGGGTATAATATAGGTAGGTAAATAAAATTTTCTTCTTTCAGGTACTGAGTCATTTTATTTTGTCAAAACATGTTTCAGGTGTGTTTCAGTCCAGCTGGTGGATGTCTTTTGACAGCTTCAGCAGACCGCAGTGCGAGAGTTTGGAACACTAACACAGGCAACTGTTTGCAGGTAAATCTGCTTTTTCTACTTCACCCAATTAATAGTATAATGTAGTTATAACAAAAAAATATGGTGTGAATTATGTAACCTAACTTTAGTTAACTTATATATTATATTTAAGTTAATAATTAGAAGCGTATACCAAATGCAATCATCGCACACTTAAAGCCAAAATGAGCCCTTTAGTTTTAATAGGTCGCCTACACTTATATTTAATAACCCTTCAATAAGTCAAGTTAGTTTTTTGTTAATCTAGTGTCGCAACCCCACTAACCCGAATCCTATGTTAGTTATAAGCTCATATTAAACGATTAAAGCCAGTTGTCACTCAGCTTCAAACAAAATGTGTCATTTAACAAATATCTGAACATCCCTACAAGCCACCGAACTTAACTCGCAACATTAGAAACGAAACTTTTTAATTTGAGTTTCTCATGCGCAATTTTAGTTTGGAATATACAAATATATTTGTAAAGTAATAATTATTTTATATCCAGGTCCTCTCCGGCCACTGTGGGGAGATTTTCTCGTGCGCGTTCTCCTACGCCGGCGATGCTATCATTACAGCGTCAAAAGATAATACATGCAGGATCTGGCGGTGACTGGAATGGTGGTTCTATGTCAAAAAATAAATTAAACAGACGTATAACTTAAAATTAACAAAACAGCTTTTGACCATTATAAGCTTGAACTGAGCTTCACAAATTGTAACAAAGATCACGTCAACTGTGTAAGAAAAAACCCCATTATCCTTCAAGAAGCTTAATCAAAAAACAAATTAGAATGATCTAAAGATAAAAAATGATTGATGCGTCAATATTAATAGAATTACAGATGAGTGCAATTAACACTAAATGTACTATACAAAAAAAAATTAGATGCGCACAAGTTTTTGGAACGAAGTTCCTTATCGCGCGTTGTGAAAGGGGGCTAGACGGAAAAAATTCTTACGAAAAGTTGTCACGACACTTTTTTGCTATTTGCTATTGTAATACACCGGTTCTCGTCCATCACCGAAGTTAAGCAACGCGAGGTGAGGTACTTGGGATGGGTGACCACCTGAGAACACCTGTATTTGGCTTTTTTTTATCGAGCGTTGGAAAGGGGCTAGACGAATAAATTAAGACCAAAATTTAACATATTTTGTATATAATACATTTTTTTAGCTATCGCCAACGTCATAATTGAATAACGTTCTCTCATAGAAGTTAAGCAACTGGCAGGTAGTATTTGTGTGGGAAACTGTGCGTTAATTGGTTGAATAATTATATATGTTATGATACAATTAATATAAATTAATCGAAAGAATTTTTCATTTGACACCTCTAAAGTTTTTTTTTGTTAGAAATACACGCAAACTAACCCCCTCCACGAACTGGTGTTTGTGTATGGACTAAAGTAGATAAGTAACTGATGCACGTAATGAATGCCTAACGCTCTATTTATTTATGTTATTTAATTTATTATCCTTATACCGATAACTCACGGTATACACTGAATGTATAAAATTCCTAATATACAACTGTATCATAAACCAACACTTTTATGTGTAACTCGGTAAAATTCATAGACACGTTTTGGACTTACACTTGACTGAGTCCAAATATCAACGGCATAGGACATTTTGTCTATGATCAAAAGAACAGACGCAAAATGTATTGATTTTTTATATTTATGTTAACCAATAATTTAATAGATTTAATATTGTTAAATAAATTTATATTCAAAATAATTGTCTATTTATCGTTGTATACTATGCATTTCGATACCTACAATATATGTATATGAAATTGGAGTATCGTGGATACGTATTCCCCATCCCTCCAAAGATGATATCAGGTGATATCAAATTTATGGCCTGTAGAGAACAAGACAGTCCTAGGATGGATTTTATTTTTTCGTGGGGAAATGCGTTACGCATGCCCTCCCGTGGCACGGTTGCCTCGTGGTGAAGGTATCTGTGGGACTCACTGCTGTGCATACCCACTAAAACCCCACGGCGCCACCAGCAATCGCCCGAGGCAGGTCACGATAACAGCGTAGTATTGTCCGCATCAAGCCACTCGATCAGACGTTGAAATCACGGTCCTAGGATAGATGCACCAGCATAGCATTACTGCTGGTGCATCTATACGGACGGAAGTGGAGTAGACAAATTGGTCGGTGCCAGTGTTTATGGAAAAATGGTGCCGAATTTGGTGGTGCGTGTATGAAGCTGAACTGGTATTGGCATGCTTTTGGTCAAGAGACATCTTTCTAAAATTAGCTGTAAATATATGTTAATATATTATGTTAAACGTAATAAGTAGTGCTGAATCATCATAGTTACCAATACTATATACTTAAGTTATACATATAAGTACATAAGTTATTTAATACCTCTGACGCCAATATAGAAAATATATATCAAAACTTTGATAACATCAGAATTCCACAAAGTATGCAAAATCATTGTCATATTTTTATGTACGCGCATCACTCAAATATTACTAATAAAACCAATTAAATAATCGAGAAGGTTAAAAGTGTTTTATAATTTTTTAAATATCATAAAATACTCTGTTCCGTAGAACTGAGCAGTGTTGGCCAAGTGGCTTCAGCGTGCGACTCTCATCCCTGAGGTTCGATCCCCGGCTGTGCACCAATGAACTTTCTTTCTATGTGCGCATTTAACATTCGCTCGAACGGTGAAGGAAAACATCGTGTGGAAACCGGCTTGCCTTAGACCCAAAAAGTCGACGGCGTGTGTCAGGCACAGAAGGCTTACCTAACCTACTTGTCTATTAGTTGACAAAATATGATCATGAAACAAATACAGAAATCTGAGGCCCAGACCTAAAAAGGTTGTAATGCCACTGATTATTACTTACGCAACTATAAGCTTGTAAGCTTGTAACTATATTTTAGGAAAGAGTCTGTAAACAATTGCAATAGCAACGAGCCACAAAAGCAAAGTTATCGTATTTCGTATTAGGTCCATCCTGTGTATGCGAAGTTCAAATGTCAATGATAAGACTTGTACTGTCGCGTACAAAATGCGAAATTTAAACAATCTCATTAAACTGAGAACTAATAACTACAAATGTCAACACATTTAGCAATTAAGACTCTTAATGATGATTCAAGACTAGTTTGTTAATTGATAGATGTATTTTAAATGCAAATTTAAAATCAGTTTTCTTTTACATCTAATATACCTGTCATGCCAATTATTTGTATAGGGCTCAAGACAAGATGTGATTGGAGACACGATTTTAATTTGGACTTCAGAGTTTTTCAGAATGCTAATAATGTAGCTACTATAACTAGCGGATCCGACAGACGTTGTCCTGTACACACGTCTTACATACAAAAAATATCTAATAATGTAAATCAGTCTTGACTCCACTTGAACACACCAAAAACTTCATCCAAATCTGTCCAGCCGTTTAGGAGTTTAATTACGAGCACATGCACAGAAGATTTATATATATACCAGCTGTTTATTTGCTGTATAGATAAATAACCTAGATACCGACTGCAGCGCTATCAGCCGGGCTGATTTGTGAATCTAAACCATCCAGGGCGTTTCCTAAACGCATAGAAAAAATTTCATTCAATTTGGTTCATATAGTAGAATTATATATACATATAAAGATATACTTATTATTATTCACACTACTTATAGCAATATGTATGAGCTAACTGAATTTTTTATTATCCACAACGTTAAAAAGTATGCCATATGCTCAGATAAAGAAAATATCAGAGATTCATAAATTAGGTATGATTTTTAAATCCACCTTGAGTACAAAATTAATATGAAATATTAAGTCAACATCTGTCTGTGATTGTACACTGTGATATAAGCGGATATAACTTATTAAGTTATTAGTTTTTGCATCTTTGCTGAAGACGGACGTACAATGTGGAAATATTTTCTTTTCCTGTGCATTGGGAGTGTTTACTGTGAATATAAATATGAGACGAAACTCTTCAAAGTACCTCTCGATCATTTCGGTTATCAAAGGAACGAAACATTTAATATTAAGTATTTGGTGAACGATGAGCATTGGGACAGCAGTTCGGGACCGATATTTTTTTACACCGGAAATGAGGTAATTCTATTCAAATTCAAATAGGAACGTAAATACTTGGAGACGTTTTTGGAATATACAATAGATTTATGTAAACAGAATAAGGCAGTGAGAGGGCTTTTTTGGATTAAAATTAAACATTGCATTAAGTAACCTTAAAGTATTAAGGAACTACTTTGAAAGCTGTTTATGATATTTATCAATGCATGAATCTTGTAGGTAGGCAGAATTGTCTGTTCCATCAATACTGCACTGTTTTATTGTTATTCTTCTTTGTAATAGCGTCCTTATGACTTGTGAGTTAAGATATATTTTACAATGCACAAAATCTGACATCAACTTGGCGTTGGGGCCTTGGACATTATAAAAATTGACACTCCAAATTATTAGCACTGTACGAAATATTGAGCCCCAATTTTTATTTTTGGTACCAATTTAATTTTGTCTATATATTGCGGTCAGTGACCTATCACAATAATAACATCTATTGCTATCTACTAAAACTTATCTTCTGTTATGTCAACATATACCTACGGCTTCTAATATAATAGCAATAAAATAAAGCGAGCAAGTTACATAATACTATCTTCACGGCTTCCCGCAGCTAGACATTTATTTTTTAAATATATATGTGGCATATTATAATGTCTTTCTTACGCGTTATTTATCGGTCCAGTAGTGTTAGAGTTTATACGCTACAAGCATACATTTCTAAGTTGCTAAATAAAACACAAGTACCCTATAAATCGAGTCGGAATCTACAAAAATCTGTTTTATTATCCAAATTTCCCTGTTTCAAATGGTGGGCAAAGAAATCGATCACGTTATAATAAGTCAATACCAGAAAGCTCGCGAAGTTATGTAAATTGATGTTATTTATTATTAGTTTATTGGCTGTTGTATTAAGTAATCCTCTTCCAATATCTTTATACATATATATAATTATACTGAACGTGTGTTTGTCACTGAACTCCTCTTAAACGGCTCGATTGATTTGAATGAATTTTTTTGTATGCGTTTGGGTGGCGCCCTGTGTGGTTTAGATTCACAAATCAGCCGGGCTGATAGCGCTGCAGTCAGTATCTATTTATCTATACAGCTTCTGTGCATGTGTTCGTAATCAAACTCTTAAATGGCTGGATAGATTTAAATGAATTTTTTTGTGTGTTCGATTAGATTTTTTTTTGTATTTAAGACGTGTGTACAGGACATTGTTTGTCGGATCCGCTAGTTCCTTATACAATATTTATTTATGTAGCCCAAGGTTCCATTTAAACATAACTATATTCACGAATCTACCATAGACTATGACGTACAATTTAAATAAAGTGGTAATTATTGTGCAGGGTCAAATAGAGTTGTTCGCAAAACACACCGGCTTCATGTGGGAGATCGCCGCTCACTATCGCGCCAAACTTGTGTTTGCAGAGCATAGGTTAGTATGTTAATTGGTTGTATAATATACAAATATATGTGGAGTGAACTATATTAACCGTGAACTATATCAACCAGTCTAACCACTGAAGAAGGCCTCAGTGGCTAAGGTCAAGAAGTTTTATATAAGCTTAAGGGTGCGTCCACAACTGGCGGATATGCCGCAAATGTGCAGCTCGCAAGCCGTTTGCGAACTGCGCGCGTGCATTTTTGTTCGTGTGCCGCTCCTGCGCCGACCGCGCGCTGTTCGCTCGCAACCTAAGCGCCGTACGCGATCAGCGTATTAGCTAGCTTATTAGTAATATAATAGCTAATGATGCAGCAATCATATTAAAAGCACTAGTGTCGTCCGACATCTTCGAAAGTACTGAGCCAGTAAACGGAACTGTAAGCGCGAGAATTGAGTGCGCGCACGCCTTATACGAGCCTTGCATGAGTTGCGCTAAAGAGGCGCACCAAACCCATGCCGTGACTGCACGCGCGCAGCTCGCAAACGGCTGCACATTCGCGGCATATTCGCCAGATGTGGACGCACCCTAACATAGCACCATTCAAGGTGCGACGTCAACATACTAATTGGAACCTCGGATTGTAGGTGTGTCGATAACCTAACCAAATTATATGTGTAATATTCTGTTAGGTTATTTTTATTTAATTGTTGCCCTGGGGATGGACAATTACACAGCTTTATTTCATAACTTTTCTTCAAAGACGTTCACAATGTTTTTCTTTACAATCCGAGCTAAGTACGAGAAATTGATTGAATCCATAGTGGCCGTGTAGGGCTCTCTGGGTTGAGGAAAATTACCGATTGAAAGATTTTATTTGCATTTCCTGAAATAAATTTAATAAATCTACTAAATATGGGTATATTTACATACGTAGTAGTTACTAAAGTAATTTTAAATGTTACAATTTCAGGTACTATGGGACCTCAATGCCATTCGGTAATAAATCTCTGGATAATGAGCATATTGGGTACCTGACAGCTGCGCAGGCGCTCGCCGATTATGCAGACTTGATTGACTTCCTGCAAGGCGAATCTATGCATCCTAGATATCCTGTTGTTGCGTTCGGTGGTAAGACATTTCATATCGTATATTAATTATTAGCGCAGTGTATCAACATATCTTTCAAATCAAAATATCATTATAAGGTAACATATTATAAACATCTATATGAAATTAATTAGTTCTTAATTTACAATATGAATGGAGGAAAAAAAAAAATCCACCACTTTTTTATATTAATAGATAAAGTAATGAAATAGATCGATTATTGCCTAAAACATTTCTTTTATATTTGCTCCAATTTTAAATGAAGAGAGACTTTCATTTGATACAACCTTTGTTAGTATAAGTCTTTTGAGGGGTAAAGTTGTTTAAGAGAAATATTAAAGACATACTTTTACTCATAACATTTCCATTGATATTTGATTTACAATTTACATGAACTATAGTGATGCACAGACTAAGTATTTTATACTAATATACACAGACTACATTGATTTGTTTTAATATAGATACATAATATTTTTTGTGTGTTTATTACTTTAATATTTCTAGGCTCGTATGGTGGAATGCTGGCCGCCTACTTTAGGATTAAATATCCTCACATAATAACGGGTGCTATTGCTGCCTCAGCCCCAGTACACATGTATCCAGGCATGGTGCCTTGCGATGTTTTCGATAGAATTGTCACTTCCAGCTTCAAAGTGGCTAATGCTAAGTGCGTCGAGAATATCAGGCAGTCGTGGTCGTTGATCAGGTAAGAAATTCCTGTATCTTTAAACCACTATGGATCTTGGTTCACTATGAACCTCTACAATGTATTATTTTAAATAATATCAAATTATTGAATCCCTATCGACGTTACGTAGTAAATCGGGTGTATTTTACTTTTCCAGAAAGTATGCAACAAACACGACAACCAGTGAGTGGCTACACAAGAATTGGAAACTTTGTGACCCAATCAAAGATGGCAAAGACATTGACGTATTAGTTGAATTCCTTCAATCCATGTATGAGACCCTGGCGATGGTGAATTACCCATTCCCCTCGGATTTCCTCGTCTCCCTACCAGCACGGCCAGTTCGAGTCGTCTGTCAGTATTTAAATGAGACTCTTGATGGCGATAAGTTACTTGAAGTATGTATCATTTGAGTTCATAGTCTATGATCAACATAATCTATGAAAAGGTCCTAAGTTCGATAGCCGGATAAATAATATCGAACCTGACCATTTCATCTTACAATTGTTATCATAGGAATAAGTCCAGAACCATGAACCTGTGCGGCTTTTATTTTTTATATATTTAAAAACTTATAATTAATTCAGGGAATCGGCAAAGTATTGCAAGTATTTACAAATTATGACGGAAAGAGTTCTTGCGTGGACTACAAGAAGGGGAATGACTATGGAAACCTTGACGCAAGTGGGTGGGATTATCAGGTAATTACTGTATTTTTTCTATTCGTATCCATTCATAATATATATACATATATAGTCATACAGACGGCTCTGGAACTTAATTAGGGGAAAATACTTAGTAATGTAAAATACACTAAAATATTTACGCGCATTGTTACGTAAAAATTACAAATAACTGTACAGGAATAGAATTGACTTAAATAACTTTATTCTTACAGGCCTGCACTGAAATGATAATGCCTATGTGCACAACAGGAAGGGATGATATGTTTGAGGCCTCATCATGGAACTATACGAAATATGCAGAGGATTGTCACAGGAAATATAACGTATATCCTCGACCTGAGGCTGCGAGGATCCAGTATGGAGGCGACAGACTACACGCTGCGTCTAATATTGTCTTTAGTAATGGTTTACTGGATCCATGGGTTGGAGGTACTTTATTATGTTATTCCAAAAACTATTGGTTTTTAGAAACCTACAAATAGGTTAATACATAATAGTGATTTGCAATATTTTTGATTTCACTTCACGGTGTTTGTATGAGAAAACCCAAAGTGAGACTTTCCTTAATCGCTAGTTTTTTGAAGTTATACTTCTTTAGGCGCGTTATGAAAAATTTATGAGAGTGAAATTTTACGATGCGCGCGCACCGTGACACAAAATTATCAGTATGGGTGCCGAGCGTGCGCGAGAAAGATGGGAATAAGACAATCTACAAGTAAAAAGAAATAGAATATGCGTGACGTTAGCAGCTATGCCAAGAATTTTGAATGACCATAATGACATTTGTAATACCTTTTCAACAAATAAAGGAGTTTTAATTATTTTTTCAAAGAAATTTAGCAATGCTTTTTCACAAAGACCTATTGTTACTTAGTTAAAAGGTTATGAAACCTACCTAGTTATTAAATTGAATTAATAATATAATAAATAATAATTATTATTAATATTAATTAATAATTGAATAAAATATTAAATATTGTTAAATTATTAACGCTAAATATTTATTATTAATTATTTAATATTTAAAAAAAATAAAGAAAGCCAAAGAAGTATAACTTCTTACGCGCGTACATAAGTACACGCACCATTTTTTTAATACAGTGTTAAACTCTTTAAAAAGAATTTCAAGGGACCTAGCATGTTTATCGTTATAGATAGATTTCGTTATATGGAGGGAAGATAAAAAAATACCAATTATATTTCTTATTTTATTACAATTAATCGGTAAATTATTCTAAAATCATATAAGTATTCTGTTAACTTTGCCTGACGTGTTTTGCTATGACAGGCAATATAATCTAAGAATAATGGCACACGTGTTAATGCAATTAGGGCTCCCACACAAAACTGCGAATTCGCATCGCATCGCAAATATTTGCGAATTCGCACGAACGTACCATAAGAAGTTCCGATCTGCTTCGCATCGCACATTCTTGCGATATTACGTCATCCTTGGTGACGCCATTTTAGTCCGCTCTGAGACAGCTTTAGAGAAAGACGCGCGGCGCCTCCGCCGCCTTCTTTGTTTGTAAAAAATTGCGGAATATGATGTGGAGTTTTTAATATTTTTAATTGAGGAGCGTCCCGTCCTTTGGGACACAAGTGATGAACATTATAAAAATAAATTGATTAAGCAAGATGCGTGGAAGAGCGTCTGTGACAGTTTGGATCAGAGTTCATAATCGTAATAAATGGATGAACCTAGAATCTTCTTTTTCTTTCATATCTATTTAACAATAACAGAAGTGCAATTATCTTTATGCGATCCATCTTACGCGTCCAGTACGGCTGACTACGAAGAAATGGTCGCCCTACCAAACGGTTCGTCGCACTAAATCGTATCGAATGCGAATTCGCATCGCATCGCATCGCAGTTTTGTGTGGGAGTCCTTAACAATAACAAAGGCGAGACGGCTGTTTATGACCTCATGTGTCTTTCTTAGAAATTTCGCCTCCTCAATAGGTTAGTATTGTAATCTGATTTTAAAAACAATTACACTTAAGTATTTTGTTGATGTCTAAATATGAAAATATTTATTCGTAATAGAGAATGGTCGTTGCGTTTTAAATAGTGAAGTAATGTATGGGTTTTGTGTTAAACCTAGCAAATTTAACTCAAAAATTATGTTATGGTGAGGTTTTCGTTATAACGAATGACGTTATAAAGAGTTTAGACAGTAATTATAAATTAGTATTATAGGATGACATAAGAGAAATTATTTACAACACCAAGTTTAAACTGAATCTTGAGGATTGTAATAATCGTTTTTTCCAGGTGGTATTTTGAACAGCATCAGCAAAACCGTCACGACCGTTGTTATAATTGATGGCGCGCATCACCTAGACCTTATGCCAAGTACACCGTATGATCCAGCAACGGTACAAATGGCACGTACTATCCATAGACAGAATATAGACAAGTGGCTTAAAGAGTTTAGAGAGCAGAGGAGGAGGCATTGACAATAAATATTTTTTTCTACTGTACTGATTTTCTTATTTATTTTATTCATAGTGATACACAGTTAATTATTTAATGATGAGTTTCGAAATCCTCGGACCCGACAGACGTTGTCCAGTTTTAACTATGAATATGGATTTCGAATTGGTATAATTAACTAAAAAAATATTTCGGGAACAAAGTGTTTATTAAAATGAATTCTGATTGTATTTTTTTATATACCAGTAGTAGTAGTATATACCTTAGTATATTAAGTGTTATGTTAGTAACGTGTCTGTAGGGTCTGTTTCACAATGTATGGATCCAAACAAAACGACCCAAACTTACCAAAACTCCATATTAAATTGAACTTTTAAAATTTGGCGTGATAACTCTAAACTCATAAATTAATTATTTTATATATATAATAACTCAGATCGAAGCATTTGTTTTAAACGATATTCATTTTTCTTACATCTTCTTTGACGATATTTGCAGCATACATTCTGTCAAAGTTATGTCAAACACCACAAGATTACATCTAACAATTATTTTAAGTGTAAAATCGCTGAAAAAAAATTTGCTATCGTAATAAGTCAGGATTACTTACGCAATGTTCTTAATTTTTTCCTTAATATTTATTTATAAGAACCTTCTCCTGACATTAACAAATACAATTATTAAAAATGAATTAGCGAAATCAGTCCAGCCGTTCACGCGTGATGCCTTGACCAAGGGAAATAGGGATTAATTTTTATATACATACATAGATAAAGAAAAAAAAAAAAAAAAAAAAAAAAAAAAAAAAAAAAAAAAAAAAAGGAAAAAAAGGAAAAAAAAAGAGGAAGAAAAAAAAGAGAGGAAAAAGAGAAGGGAAAAAAAAAAAAAAAAAAAAAAAAAAAAAAAAAAAAGAGGAAAGGAAAAGGAAAAAAAAAAAAGAAGAGAGAGGGAGAGAGGAGGAGAGGGGGGGGAAGAAGGAAGGGGGAGGGGGGGGGGGGGGGGAGGGGGGGGGGGGGGGGGAAAGGGGGGGGGGGGGGGAGGAAGGAGGGGGGGGGGGGGGGGGGGGGAGGGGGGGGGAGGGAGGGGGGGGGGGGGGGGGGGGGGGGGGGGGGGGGGGGGGGGGGGGGGGGGGGGGGGGGGGGGGGGGGGGGGGGGGGGGGGGGGGGGGGGGGGGGGGGGGGGGGGGGGGGGGGGGGGGGGGGGGGGGGGGGGGGGGGGGGGGGAGGGGGGGGGGGGGGGGGGGGGGGGGGGGGGGGGGGGGGGGGGGGGGGGGGGGGGGGGGGGGGGGGGGGGGGGGGGGGGGGGGGGGGGGGGGGGGGGGGGGAGGGGGGGGGGGGGGGTAGATAAAGAATGTCTTCCATGTTTTTTAAATATGTGAATATGATTTACTTATGTGTAAATAAAATACTACTTGTAGATAATATACACCAGATCATTACTATTAAAAAAAATACCAGTTTATAGTAAAACATCTCTTAGGTCTGAAACGTTTCTACGTACTAGAAGTTATAAAAATTTATAAATTATATATTACTAGCAGACCGTGCCACGCGTTGCTGTGGCTAAGGTTTTAGTTATATTAGATAGTAGTAAACTATTCAAGGGAACCGGTAGGAGAACACCAGTCATGGGGACCACCATGCTTCTTTGGTGGTTATGCCATTCAATTATTGTAGTTTATGTGAAACGTTGGTACTTTCAACACAGCGCCATCTGTTAGAATTGTGACTGTTAAATAATAAGAAATAATTTGCAATAAAACAATATTGCGGGTAGAAATTAAGATGTTAGCTATCCTATCTTTTAAGTTAGATCAAACTGCACACGGTGTGCAAATTTGATTGAAATCGGTTAAGTAGTTTAGGAGTCTATCGCGGACAAACAACGTGACACGTGATTTATATATATTAAGATATATTTATAAATATTATTTTTTAAGGCCTAGTTCTGCCTTAACCTTAAGACGAAATAATACTTAAACTAAATGAATATGTATTTCGAGCACATGTATATAGAGACAAAACTACATTTCAAAGGAATGAGTTAAATTTATCTGACAACACAATTTATTTTGCGGCTAGATGAAGACTGACACATCTGATCACACGTTTGTCACTGTCAATTATTGACTTTAATGTTTATGAAATGTCAGTCTGATTTTTGAGTCTAACTGTTAAATTTGATTGCTCTTAGTTCCTATTGTTTATTTACGTCTCATCAATATTAAATTTTCAATAAAATTCTGAAATAAAAGTATGAGTACCACATGCAAATATTGCAATGAGCCAGAAGATAAACAGTACCGGCCAGGTCTTATATGCGAAAGTTGCATATGCTTCGTCCACTTAACCTGTTTGAAAAGAGCAGGAACACCGGGTGACCTATCCGGAGATGTTTTCTTTGATTATACGTGCGAAGACTGTTCGCCGGAGAAGGAAGAAATTTTTAAACGAACGAAGATTCTCTGGTTAGTTATATGCGCTAAAATGCGTGTACTCAAGACTTGTCTCTTGATCTAGCAGAGCTACTCAAAATTAAAGATAGCAGAACCTAGATCATTCCTTAAAGCTACAAAAAAGCTAATGCCCTAACATGAATATAAAATTAAGATAATCAAATAATAATCCAACACCTAATAGTAATAAAAGTTTATTTTATTAAGTAGCTAGCTACATTACACCATTTACAAATTTTCAAACTCAAAATATATTTATTCATATAGGCATATGTTTTGACACTAACATAACATGTATGTATGATTTTCAGGGTTCATGCTCTCCTATTAACTTTATATCATCTGAGGAATCATATGAGCGGGATGAGTAATCATAGGTATTTCCACTACAAGACACACATTTGCTCCTTCATAGATAGGTCTTGGATGCAGCTGTTTGGACCTAAGTTGTAAGTCCTATTATCAATGATAATAATATAAGTGTAATTTTAACACAATAAAAAATATTTTTAGAGAGGATTTAAAACACTTCTGTTCCCTTATTTTTATGTGTCTTACTTTAAATTTTTTAATGTACTTTTATCTTACATCATTAAAAAATGCAATGAAGTTCTGATAAATCCACAATGTTAACTTTCAAATTACCAAAATTTAATCTTAAGTCATAATTGCATTGACAAAATAATTATGAGTGAAACTAGTAAGTACTAATACAATATAAATATTGTCTTGGTGAAACTATATGGTTTGGACTATAAGATCTGCCTGTATTATACAATTATCAGAAAATAGACAAACACAGTTCACACAAGGTATATTAACATTTTCAGTAAGCAGAAGAAAAATTGGATTGGTACAATAGCAGGTGCCTTGTCAGTGTATAGCAACTTACTGTTTCAATCAGGGTTGGCGCAGCTAGGAGAGAGTGGTTGGTGGAAGCTAAAACACAATTTTAGCCCTGCGGCGGCTGCTCATATAAGTATGTATTGCCTATAAAGTTTACATTACATGGCATATTTTACATGTTTAATATAAATAAACTAGCAGACCGGCCAAGCGTTGCTGTGGCTAACGGTAACGGTAGGAGAACACCAGTCATGGGGACCACCATGATTTTTTGGTGGTTATGGCCATTAAATTGTAGCCTATGTGAAACATTGGTACTTTAAACACAGCACCATCTGTTAGAATTGTGACTATCAAATAATAAACAAATATTTTGCAATAAAATAATATTGCGGGTATAAATTGAGATGTAAGCTTTAAGTTAGATCAAACCGCACACGGTGTGCAAATTTGATTGAAATCGGTTTAATAGTTTAGGAGTCCATAGCGGACAAACAACGTGACGGACAAACATACGTCTTACATGACATTGGCGTTTTAGGAAAAAGCGAATATTTTAAAATATAATATTAGGTCCTTACATATGAAATTGGCGTTTTGTATGGGAGGAACAAAAAGTCGAATATTTTTAAATACAATATATTTAATTAATCAAAGTATGAACCATTGTTTTCTATGCACTTTTGCCATCCCATAGGTAGTTCATTGATCCCTTTACTAAAAAAAACCAGTCGGACGGGAATCAATAAAATCTGTGAAGGCGATTTGGACTGCCCCATCAGAGTTAAATTTTTTCCCTTGCAAAAATTGTCCAAATTTCGAAAAAAATGGTAATCTGTTGGAGCAAGGTCCGGGGAGTACGGAGGATGTCTTAGACATTTCAATTGAAGCTCTTCTAATTTGGTAGCCGTCTGTTGTGCAGTGTGTGGTCTAGCGTTGTCGTGAAGTAGCAGTGGCGTGGAGCGATTGACCAGCCTAGGTTGTTAAGCCGCTAGCTTTTCCATCATGGTTTGCAATTGCTGACAATAGACATCAGCCGTAATAGTCTGGCCAGATTTGAGAAAACTGGAATGAACAATACCGGCACTAGTCCTCCACACGCTTACAAGTAACTTTTTTGGGGTTAATTTTTGCTTGGGGCAGGATTTGGCTGGCTGGCCAGGATCCAACCATTGCGCTGAGATTCCGATCATCGTAAAGAATCCATTTTTTATCACAGGTAATGATTCGGTTTAAAACCGACCTGAATCGGCACAATAATGATACCTTCATTATTGTGCCGGTTCAGTAATGTAACGCAGCAGTCGACGCGCGTTTGCCGGTTTGCTTCAGTCAATTCGTGAGATACCCATCTTTCAAGCTTTTTAATCTTCCCAATTTGCTTCAAGTGAATTAAAACAGTTTTATCACTAACACCGCAGCCTGCAGCTAACTCGGACGTGGTTTGCGATGGATGCGCTTCCACAATAGCCTTCAATACTTCATTATCAACTTGGGTCTCAGGCCGTCCACGGGGCTTGTTCTGCAGGTCGAAATTTCCAGAACGAAAACGTTGGAACCAAAACCGAACTGTGTTTTCTTTTGCAACATGACCGCCATACACATCATTCACCCTTCGAGTCATTTCCGCACCACTAGTGCCACGGCGGAACTCGTACTCGTACTCGTAAATAATGCGATATTTTAAGTTTTCCATTTTGTAAAATGAGTGACGCAAACAGAAAAAAACAAATGAATGACGGTCATATAAGCACAAGTACATGAGTAAATAGCTGTACAAATTTGAATTTGGAATTCCTTACCAAAGAGGAGAACATCGTGATTAAAGTGGCCAGTACGAAAAACGCCAATTTCATATGTAAGGACCTAATATATTAACATAATAAAATGGTGTAAATGCAAATGTACATTTCTAAAGAATATTTATTTATATCTGCAAATATGTATAATTATATACTTTATTTCAGTACAAGAGATATCGCGTGACAAGACAAAATCCCGGCCGAAGAATCAGCTAGGAGTGGATATGACTCTCTTTATTGCTAAAGTCACAGAATTAGGTATGTTATCAATGATATATAATGAAAAACCAATTCTAACTTCTGTGATCAATTCTCTGTATAGGTTAGTCAGGCCAAAGGCAGTCCTGCATACAATTTTTTGAAAAGTTATTTACGAAACCCAAGCTTTATCGCTTTCGACGTAATCGTTAATAAAGAGCGAAGTCCTGCCCCATTGCGCTGCATATTTATGTGCTTCAAATAGTATTGGAAATAATCATAACCTCAGTGACTCAGTGAGAATGTAGCGTTTTAACCTTACCGCTTTACAGTATTTAACATTGGAAATAATTTTAAAGTATAATTCTTACATTCTTTTTAAAAACTTTCAGGTTACAAAGACCAGTTAGTGAAGAGGAAGGTCTTGACATCATCGTCCTACCCGCTAGACACGGGTTTGCGGGTTTGAAGATTTCCTACCATCTGATGTTCAGGACGATGTGTAAGTGTATATGTAACGAAAATGAACGTTAGATTGGATTCTATCTCGCGAGATTTAAACTGTCAAAGATTGCCTGAACACAAAGTACCCCCCCTTGTTGTCTTACAATTTAACGTATTATTATTCGGTAGATTATAATCTATCAAGTCCAAATTATTTAACTGTACGCATCCGTCTGATTGGCTATAATCATTAGACCGTTATGTCCAAGAGTTAGGAATAAAAGAAGGGTTTTGGTCAAATGAAATCTGCAATTAGTTAACGTAAAAGGTAATCAATGTTGTCCTTACATGTTGCAAAACAACGTTCGACACAAAAAAACAGAAACGTGACAATATTCGATCTTCAAAACAAATTAAAATTGTGTGGTTCACGGAAACTTTCTCTTAGAAAAAATCGCCCGCACAAATTAAAGTTCACACGTGTACGTACAAACGTTTGGGGGCGTTAAATCGTAACAAGATTTCAACTTATGTGGAACTACAAAGTTAATCGCACTAATACAAATGTTAATGCTTGTTGTGCGGCAACTGAGTTGTGGCTCCTGGAGCTACAAAGAGCATTTCAGCTCTCTTTTTATTTTTTTGCAAAACGTTTTTTACTAAGTCATTATGCCCAAGCTTTATCACTTTCGTACGCTATGGTAATTTTCCGTTAATAAAGTACCAATATTTCTGAGTTTTGTTGATCGACATGCTCAATATCCGACATTGTAAATAAATACAAAGGTAAAAATCTCGCAAATAGAAATATTACGGAAAATTATTTCTTAAACTATGTTTGGAAATCATCATAACCTCAGTTACTCAGAGACTTCTTGAATCACAGATTCATTTTAACTTACCATTTTAACTTTTCATATTTAACATCTAAAGTAATTTTAGAGAATAATTCTTCACAAAACATTTTTTTTAAAAACGAATTTCAGGTTACAAACGGGCAAAACCAGTTCAGTCAATCAGAGAGAGGTGCTTAGTTGCATCACCTTCGATAGATCCAATCTACCCGATAAGAAACGTATTGCGTTTGGAGTTCAAATATTTCGAGAGTTTACCATCTGGATGATTCAACGGTACTATTTTAAGTTGAATATACAACATAAAACAGAACTATATTCACCAACTAACTCAGTCTAATGAGTGGACTCTTTCGTCTCTTTCTACTCAAATTGTGTTTACACTGTGATGAAAAGAGAGCTGAAACATTATGAAGAATTTCTTGTCTGAGTTTAGCTCAAAGGGAATCCTAGTGTATACTGGTGTACATTTTCATTTCATAATATATACAATTAAGAATGGACAAATTTACGTCATATTGATTGGAGACATATATAATATATATACTTATAAAAATTACAGAAAAGAAGAGAAACTAATGTCACCGGTGAAACAAGAAGTGGAAGATTACTATGAAGCGTCCACAGCCAGTATCTCGTCTCGGGATAATTTCTCTGATGTTGATTTTCTAAAAGAAAAATTTGATTATCCGGCTTATATACCGCCTGTAAATATTAAAAATACTACTTTTAAATAACAATGCGTGTCAAATAAGAAACGTCAATTACGTTTATCTATCAAATGTCAGTTGTCTTTTGCAAAAAAAAAACTTATTTGCTGATTGCATAACAGTATAGTTTAACTGGTCTTAGGTAATATAAGCCTTCAAATGTTTTAACTCAAATACTGTTTCGTCTCTTTCTGTTAACCCTTTATTAATTTGATATGAAAAGAGAGATAAGTACTTGACTATCTTAATTGTATTGTCTTTGATTGACATAACCTTTACACATTTAAAGAAAAAACTTTTTAACCGGATTAAAGTTATGTATTATTATAAATTTACAACTATTTATTTTATTTTACCGTGACCACGCACGCTGTAAAGCACGCGAAACGTCGGATAAATTTAAAATTATGTTAAATAGTTGTAAATTTATAATAATACATAACTTTAATCCGGTTAAAAAGATTTTCGTTCAAGTATTACGTAACGAATTTTTTCCTTTTGTACTGTTGCGATGCGGGGCGGGGATTTAATTACGCGTTAACATTAACGATAAATATTTTTCGACTTTCCAGTACTTTATACCACATAATGGTAACTTTTAGGTATAAAGAGTCACTAGGTGGTCACGAAACGTTTTACTATACTTGGGTACAGTGCTGTATTTAGGTACAGAAAAACGTTAAATGGGGGGGGTTAATAATCTCCAAAAATTGCGTGACGTAATACTTGAACGCTCCCTATGACGTCACAATAGATGGTAGAGTCAATTCTTATTTGAATTGTAATGTGTGTGCTTTGGTGATTTTTATCTTCATTAAAAAATATTACAGATAAATTTTCAAAGTGATTCATCAAGCGTACACTCGTACAAATATTCGTATAACTGCGATTCGGATAGTTCGCTTCGTGAGCTTCCCTCTGATACGGAAGTTAAAAAGGAAAAGACAAAGAGAACCGAAGAGAAACCTTATATCAGGAGAGAGAGTTTATTTTCTACGCAGTTGAATTCTGTCGGTACGTAACCATTAATAGACTTCTTATATGGCAAAATATCTTTTATTTGTCAAAATATATGCAGATTTTATAATTTCTGGCAAATTTCTAAAATTTAACTCTTAAAAATTGTGCACCGTTGTAATCAAGTGTATTCTGTCTCTTTTCATCACAGCGTAAACACAATTTGACAGAAAGCAAACTATTTTTTTTCTTCTAAAAAACATGTGTGCGACAGAGATAACGGTACTCAATGAAATGTCTCTTTCTAAAGGTCTTTTGAATTTAATAATTGCTAATGTACTAAACAAATCACATCTTACATCCAGGATTAATATTTACATTTTATAACACATTTAGATTTTGTTAATGGTTATACGTCAATAAAACCTAAAAGTATCGATATAAATATTTAACCATCTATGTTATGTTTAAGACATGCCCTGGTTAAGCCCACCCGAGCCGACCAATGACGTGGTTGAAATGACGGAATATGAAGAAATACAACTTCTCAAAACTATTGAGGCCCTGGTACTTAAAGTACGGGAAAGCGGGAAAAAGGCCTATCTCTCTCAACTTAAGGCCAAACTGGCACTACGCAGGCTAAAACGACATAAGCATATTCCTGTTTTTGATCTTGATAAGTAAGTCAAAAATTTGCCTCTTTATATTTCTACTAAAATGGTCTGTAAAGTCGGTTTATGGAAGATAGTTTAACGTGACAACGTCATAACAACACATTGATGATATGCTTGCATACTTATGTCTTCGAGTAAAAGAAAGATAGATGCGTACAAGCGTACAATGAGCGTAATGGTACAACAAGCGTAACGGGACAACGAGCGTAAGCGTATCAAGATTCATGCTTTTTATGCGTGCAGGCGGCGTTCATCGATTTATTAGACGTTGTCACGTCAGAAAGATAAGTAGGGTAGTCCAACAGATCGGTAGTAGTGAAAAAAAAACAGTCTCTTTATTAATATTGGTTTATTTTAATTCTATATGATCTATTTATTTACACTTCGTTACCTTATACAAAAACATACATATAAAAAAAGCAGGTTACATAAGTTATTAGGCAACGGGCGGCCTTATTGCTAACAAGCTATTTCTTCCAGGCAACCCTAATATGGAACAATAAAAAAAGAAACATCAAAGATCAAATCAAAACAAAAATCATTTATTATGCTACACATGTAGGTAACACAATGTACACTTATGAAAGTCAAAAGAAAGAAATAACACATTAAATGCTTCTAATTTTACATTTACTGCCAGTTCTCGAATCAAGGGCGTAGAACGGAAGAGAAGAACTGGCAAAAAACTCTCCGCCACTCTTTTTAATCGCCAAGTTTTTGTTTTACACAACGTTTGTAAGAAGCTGCAACCATTACACCATGTTCCACATGATATCTTAAGTAATTAATAATAATACAATAAATTAAAAACAAAGATTATTTTCTTAAAATGCGCCATCTCGGCTTAGCATTAGCAAACTTGACGCATGTCGGCGTCGCGTCGTTTTTCAATTTAATGTAAAAATCAAAGGTATTTGTTACAATTCTGCCAATTACTAATTTCAAAATTGGTTTCATTGAAATCGATATTGAGAGATACAATATTAATCTGTAATGCATATATTATGACGCTTTTTGCGATTCTGAAACACAACCAATAGACTCTGGAAAGAAAAGCGTCGTGGGATCCCATTAGTGTTAAAGCAATAATTTACCTGATTCCGTCAATTTAAACTATATAATTATTGTGAATAAATGATGTGAACCTTAAGCATTTGTTACAAATACAAAAACACTTTAAACAATGTTGTCTATGATTAATAAGCTTACGTTATTCATACGAATAGATCTTTTCTTACCTGCCATGTCGGTTTCTCTTCCGCTAACTCTACAAGCTTTAACAATTATTTTCAGGACCGTGAAGATCCTGGGCGGTTACGTCACAGAAGAAAAGAAGATCATCTCAAACATTGAACGTGTACTCGACAGATTCCAGAGATCTGTATGTTATATATTTTATATCTTTATTAACTTGCCAATTTGTATGAGTTTTTTTGAAGTGACTTTATCGGGGTTGGAAAAAAATTTAGTGTAACATTTTTTCGTTACGCGTCACATTTTTCCGTTACGCGCCATGTTGCTTTTGAAGTCAAAATTCTTTATCGGCTTAAAATATGAAGTTTTTTTATATAGTCCGTTAACGGTTAGATTTTCGAAGTCACTTCTTCGGCGTTAAATATAATATTTTTTGACTTTGAAGTTTGACAACTGATTACATTTTCGTATACTATTCGCAATTTGCAGCATTTTTGTAAATTGTATGCGGCAGTGTACAAAACTGTTTTTAAAGAGCTTTTATTTAACATTTAATAAAGCTAGCAATAATCTTTTAGATGTTTTTAGAAACATTATAAAAAAAAAAAAAATCTTTTGTTAATAAATATTGTGTATTTTTTAATCATTAGGACATAACCCTTTAAATCATAATACCATTTATTCATATAGGTAATTAAAACTCTCGTTAAACGTAAATTAATCAATAAAGCTTTCTATAAATTTGACTATTTAATGATTCCAGTACAAACAATTTGTATGACTTAAAACTTGGCGATTTAAAAGAGTGGCGGAGAGTTTCTTGCCAGTTCTTCTTGCCCGCTCTACGCTCTTGACTTGCGAACTGGTAGTAAATGTAAAGTTAGAATCAAATTTAACACCTTTTCTGTTGACGTTCATAAGTGTACTTGGTTACCTATATGAATAAAGTAATTTTGAGTTGAGTAGGTCATATATATTACATTTAAAAACGTCTTAAACAATATAAAATGCTGTTTAATTTACATTTACTTCTCAAATCCAAAGGCGTAGAACGAGAATTGACTTTTTTTTATATAAAGCTGTAACCATCAAACTTCTCGTGAACATCTTGAAGCAAATTAGCATTATAATTAATGCAATAAAATAGGCGAAATACTTACATTAGTGTTCTCTTTCCATCACAGTGTAAATACAAATTGACAGAAAGAGACGAAATAATATTTTAGCGTGCAAAATAATTTTTACGAATGGGTTTAATGGATAAAATACCGCGGTACAAGAAGTAGGGCTCATTTTAATTGGTAGTACTTTCAATGAATGTGGTACATATATTTAAGATTTGTCTTTTATATAATAAAAAGTACGGGGGATTGGTGGTTGACATACGTAACCCGTAAACATAATTATTGACGCATTTTGTGAAATCTAACTGCTATTTGTACGAATCTTAAAAGTAACTGATTTTTTTCAGTACCTAATAGACAACCTCAGTGGTACGATAGCGAGTACGAACTATGGCACAGTGTTGCTATCCAGCATGGAGACTGCGCCCTTCAGGTCGAGTTATTCTGGCGCTACCCTCAAACCGTTTATACGACGAGATAGCGAGACTACCCCCATCTGGCTTAAACTTATGGACGAGCTGCTACGAAAAACGCATAAGTATGATTATTTTTTAAACATACCGTCATAGTCGTAGAATAGTGACGGATCTGACAAATAGTAAACATTAGGGCAGCCATTTCAAAATAATGTAATCATGTTAGTTTTTGTCATGACTATTTTAATTTATATTCTGTTTTTATGAAAATTGGCATACAAGCAAACAAAAGGGTTTGTTTTGAAACAAAATAAAAATAATAACATTTAATTACACAGTCTAGAAAAATCACATGCTTCTATCAAATCCGTCACTTTACCGACTGATTGATTTGAAATTTAAAATAAATGGATTTTTTTTAAATGTAGCCGTAATATTTAGTCTATGTAGTATCCAAATATGATAAAAAGTGGATTTTGTTTTTTTTTTTCAAATCCGACATTCTTCTACGATCATGACGATATGTATTATGTGTTCACAGTTCCCCCGCCGAATTGATTTCGTCGAATTTTGGATTGTTTTATTTTGAACTAGAACTAAATATTATTTGTCATAGCTTAAATAACTTCAGTCTTTTCGACCAGTATATGTATACAATAACCAGTGGCGGTTAGTAGTTATCAGTTCTCATCTTCCTTCCATCTTCCTCCACACAACTCTTTAACTAACCGAAAAAGGGGGATTAACTTGTAATATTGGTACTTAATTGAGGAGCGAAACTAGCTTGTTTTACTATCGAATTTTGAATTAATATTCGACCCAATAAGATTACTCGACTGAGATTAAACGAGTCCGTTGGCCTGGACACTGAGCGATTTATGAATCACGCTAGCAGCCCCCCCTCTCTCCCCTTCATATGGAAGGGGGGCTGCGTCGCAAGCATGTGTCTATGAGCAAAAAATTTATTTTTAAAGAACTACTTAATAACCGATATTTGAATTAAATCAACTACTTCCTTGTAGTTTAGATCACGACTGTACCCTCGCGAAGACTCTATACATATTCTTTTTATGATGATTTATAATTGTATACTTTTTTTTAATAGGCACGAAGAAGGGTACAATCCGCCACCGCGCGCGACCATCGACTATTCATATTTGAAACCACAACATATTGCGGCCGTAAACAAATTGTGCGCGCAGTACTTCTGGCCTGGGATTGACTGTAAGAAATGCTTTCTATTGCCTTTTGTGTCTATACTTATATTATGTCCACATATGAATTTTGTATGGGAGAAACAAAAGGTAGATTTTTTAAAATATAATATATTGAATTAGAAAACCAAAAAAAAAACTTCAGAAAACCAAAAACAAAACTCGACCCATGAAAAACGAACTGAAGGCTCTATACAAATTATCAAGTAAATATAAAAAATGCACTACAAGAAACACAAAACTGAGGTTATTAAAAAGTATCTAGAAGAAAAAGGAAGCTTAAAAAAAGGATATAAAGAGTTGCGAACAAAGAAAACGTGGATTGAAGGCCTGAAAGAGTCTGGTAAAGTAACGTATAACCGAAAAGACATTATCAACATTGCTACTGACTTCTACAAAAACCTATATAGCGCACCCTGCACACAGCGATTGCGGTCAGTCTCGAAATGAAGAAGTGGAATTCGAGGAACTACAACGTCCCATAGAGCCAATACAATGTACGGAAATCATAGACACTATAAATAAACTAAAACCCGACAAGTGCCCAGGCTCAGATAATATTACAAATGAGGCAATCAAAACAGCCAGTATCATACTGGCTCTTCCACTGGCAAAATTGTTCAATATGATATTGGAAACAACCCATATACCATCACAATGGTCGGAATCTAATATTATCTTACTTTACAAAAAAGGAGACCCTAAAGATATAGGCAATTATCGGCCTATAAGTCTACTACCAAGTTTATATCAAATCTTCTCTACAATAATAAACCACAGAATAAACGCAACCTTAGAACAGCACCAAACTAAGAAACAAGCTGGTTTTCGGAAAAACTTCTCTACTGTTGACCACATACATGCTTTAGAGATAATAATAGAAAAATATCAAGAGCAACAAAGACCCCTGTACATCGCATATATTGACTACCAAAAAGCCTTTGATACTGTTTATCACGAAAGTATATGGGAAACACTAAAAGCACAAAATGTCGACTTAAAATACATAACTATACTAAAACATATATACGAGAACAGCACTAGTAGAGTGAAGCTAGAAACCATAGGACCAAGCTTTCCAGTGCGTAGAGGTGTCAGGCAAGGTGACCCACTCTCCCCAAAAAATTTTACTGCAATATTAGAATCGATCATAAGTAAACTAGACTGGAAAAAAACAAGGCTTGTACATGGCAACTACTTGAACCATCTAAGATTTGCCGACGACTTAGTATTGCTATCAGAAACAAGCAACCAATTACAAAATATGATAGAAACCTTAAACAAGGCTAGCGTACAAGTAGGTTTGCAAATGAATATATCAAAAACAAAAGCCATGACAAACTACATAAGATCTACGATAAAAATTGGGAATGACGAGTTAGAATATGTTGAAATGTATATTTACTTGGGCAAACAAATTGGATTCAGTAGCGACAGAAATGATCAAGAAGTAGAGAGAAGAGTTAAAAGTACGTGGAATAAATATTGGAGTTGCAAAGAAATATTTAAAAGTGATATGCCTGTAAGACTCAAGAGGAGAGTTATGGACTCATGCCTTCTGCCATGTCTGACATATGCATGCCAAACATGGAAATTTACAAATAAAAGAAAAAATTAAATAAATACATGTCAACGAGACATGGAAAGGAGCATGCTAAATATTAAAAAGGTACATAAAATAAGACACATAAAAATTAGACAAGAGACGAGAGCAATTGATGCTCTAAGCCACGCAAAAAAATTGAAGTGGAAGTGGGCGGGTCATGTAGCGCGCCTCACAGATCATAGGTGGACGAAAACAATAACTACATGGAGTGGCCCACCAGGCAAACGACACAGAGGCAGACCCTACACTCGATGGGATGATGACATCAAAAAAATCGCGGGTCCTCACTGGGTCCAAATAGCTTGGGATAGAGAAAGATGGAAAGCCTTGGAGGAGGCCTTTACCGGAGAGGGTTCCTGATACTTACTAACTGTAAAAGATATTCACTAACACACGAGATAATTAGATATTTTTGTATTAGGAAATAAGATAAGGCTTAAAATAAAATAAATAAATATTGAATTAATCAAAATATGTACGATTACTATCTATGCAATTTTGCCATCTTACAAGTGGATTAATACAGTTTTATCACTAACACCGCAGCCTGCATCTAACTCAGACGTAGTTAGCGATGGATCGCTTCCACAATAGCCTTCAATTCTTTGTTATCCACTTTGATCTCCGGCCGTCCATAGGGCTTGTTCTGCAGGTCGAAATTTCCAGAACGAAAACGTTGGAACCAAAAACGCACTGTTTTTTCTCTTTTGCGACACAGCCGCCATACACATAATTAATCCTTCGAGGCGTTGCTGCAGCACTGGTGCCACGGTGGAACTCGTACATCAATAAAGCGATATTTAATGTTCTCCATTTTACAAATAGAGTGACGCAAAGAAAAAAGCGGGAAAATGAAATGAATCATGGTTTTTGAAAAACAAATGCACGAGTAAAGAATTGAATTTGGAATTCCTAACCAAAGAGGAGATATTTGACGTCAAAGTGGCCAGTAGTACCACAAAACGCCAATTTCATATGTAAGAACCTAACATTAAGCTGAAGCTGGACAAACATATACAACATTGTGTTGTCAAAGCAATATATAAAATGACTATAGCTACTAAATTATCTGTGTCGTTAATTATTATATATCATTAAATACTTGACTGCGTTTGTGGCTGTTATTCAGCATGGTCTTGTGATGTGATGTGGAGACAGAGCTCCAATAAAGAAATTGTTTTGAATTGGTAGTCTCAACTAGTTGGTTTAAAAAAAATCGAATTTGTCTAATAGAAGTGTTAATTTGTATTTAATCTAGAATTTTAGATTCAGGCTGGAGGAGTCGAGACCAGCCCTGAATCGTATCCTAACTCTCTGCGTTTACTTCAGTGACAGAAGCCCTGCAGTACCCTGAGTTTAGCTGCGTTGTGACATACAAGAAATTAGTTATAGGATGTGCCTTCCTGGTTCCGGATGTTGGACACAATCAAGCCTATATCTCATTTGTATTGACACGACCCGAATGGCGAAGAGCAAATATTGCAACATTCATGTTATATCATCTCTTACAGGTATGTCTAGAGGGTCCACAACTAATTTTTTTAGCAAGTAGAAAAATACTAGATGAGAACCATTATATGGTCCTTTACTGGCTTACATTTACTACATTTACTAGTGTCCATTTATAAAATCAGCCCTCAGTGGATGTTTTGCTTTAATTTAATACAGATTTCATTATGCAGCACCAGATAGTACTAATATGTAATAAATAATAGTAATGGAAATGAAAAATGCATTTAAATTAGTATTGCATTTGATTTACATTTGCAGCTGATCATTTAGAAAAAATGAACTTTTTACTTAATACTTAAAATATTGATTTATTGAAAAATCTTGTTTCAGACATGTTCTGGCCAGGATGTGACACTGCACGTCTCTCCTACAAATCCAGCCATATTTCTATATCAAAAATTTGGTTTTAAGGTAAGCAGAGAAAGATGGAAATTATTAAAGAATTTAATTACCAACTATGTCATTAAAGGTTTTGATATAAATCCTTCTTCAATAAGGTAATCATACAGCTTCCGTGTCTTATTCACATCTATTTTAACAATTCTTCTTGCATCAAGTAACCTTAAAAATCCTAGTTTGTGATTTTCAGCTATCATTGTATTCTTAATCTCTAAATAGTTCCTAGGAGCTAATCGTACATGCGCGCATAGTGTCTTTTCACTTTCCGATAACAAATGATAACCAGGCAAATCAATAATATCTAAAGGCATATGCGACCTTTTGTATTTTTTACCTGGAGTAGGCAAGAAATTTTGATTAAGACTGAATTTATGCTTTGCAGGTGATTTACTCTCAAATTTTTTTGCCATAACCATTGAGTAGTATCTTTGTTCTTTCAAAGCTGACTCATGTTCAGACTTTAAGTGCCGGTAGAGGCGGGCTGACTGCATTGTTTTTATACCATTTTTACGATACTCTGTCAAGAGTATATATTTTTGCAATAATGCTTCTGCAAGGCTCATGGACTCCATAAAGGCATCAAATTGCATACCTGTCATAAACTGCATAAAAACTAGCAAACGTTCCGCCTTTGCTCTAGTGAGTGTGACATCAAACTTTTTCACCCAAGAAAACAATTTATTTATCATTATCAGTCCATGATTTTGAATTATGCTATATCTTCTGTGCCTTTCTTTAAGGCGAGTGTTAAAAGCATTCACGAGGCTTACTTTTAGAGCATCCAAACATTCATCTTCATCATCAGAGTGCGTGTCCTCTATAGTGAAAATATTTTCAGCATTACTGTCATAATTGAGTTCAAACTCTGATCTATATGCATTATAACCAGCTAAATGCTTGTCACCGTGATAGTTCCGAGGTGGATTGGTACTAATATCCAAGCTGAACAGATATGGTATGACAGGTTGAGGAAAAAGAGATTGATCTGTTTCAGGTAATAATTTTAATTCTTCAAAAGCAACATTTTCAATATAATACTTTTTATAGTGTTCTAGACATTCTAGTTTGGATCGTGTATGCACACTTTTAGATATTTCTTCCCAGTTTCCATATCCATATGTTGACAATGCAGTAAGAAGTTTACATTCCTCCTTAGCTGACCAGTTGCAGTTGTCAAAAAGTGGGAAATCGTTTCTTCTCACAGCATACTTGTGGTCATTTTTATGTAAATCGACTTCTTTGCCAGATGCAAAACAGGAACAACATAGGTTTGTTTCACAGTCACAGCATTCAATATATGGTTCGTGTGTTAGGTCTTTGCAACCATCGCATTTAATTTGTAATATATCACAGGACATTTTGTTCACAGGTCGAAGAGTTAATTCAAGATTTTTACGAAAAATACTACGACATGGATTATAAAGGATGTCGACACGCACTGTTCCTTCGACTAGTCCGATGATAAATAATGTATTTTCTGAATTAATTTAATAAACATTATTTTATGTATTCATTTTATTCTTCCCTATATATATATATATATATATATATATTGTTACTTGCAAGTCGTAAACATTTAACAATAGCGGTGCTTGATAGGCGATTACCGGTGCGACGTCCGACAGTGACAAATCATAATAGTATCAAGTATGAAGTCAGCCGTCAGGGTTGCCAACTCCTACAAAATGGTCCCCCTAGGACCAACTTCAAATACCCCTAAATGTCGATCAAAACCTCTAAACTTTTTGTTGTACACTTGGTTTGAGAGGTAATTTCAAATATGAATTAAAATTACGTTGAAGTAGTAAAAAATAGCTAGTATTTATGTGAGTACATTTTACATATTTATATATGTTAATCAATGACCGAATAATATTAATGATAATAACAATGAGATGTAACGATTCTTATTTTTTGTTTCATAACTTTTCTTTCTTCGAATTCAGTTTTTCTTAACTTTTCTTGGCAGAAATTTTTTTGCGTTTTCGTCAATTTCTTTTCATACTTTATTTTTGGCTTTTTGTCCTTTTCCTTTTTGAAGTTATACTTCTTTAGGCGCGTTATGAAAAATTTATGAGAGTGAAATTTTACGATGCGCGCGCACCTGTGACACAAAATTAGGAGTGTGATTATAGCGTGCGCGAGCGAGATAGGAATAAGACAATCTACAAGTAAAAAGAAATAGAATATGCGTGAAGTTCGTATGCCAAGAATTTTGAATGACCATAATGACATTTGTCATTTACCTTTTAAACAAATAAAGGAGTTTTAATTATTTTTTCAAAGAAATTTAGCAATGCTTTTTGAATTATATATAATCAGAAGTGATTTAAATTGAATATTTAAACCAATACTAATTAATATTTGTGAAAAAACTGTGCTCATCAACCTTCCTAAGTGCTTCATTACAATTGAGGTTAACTATCAGTTTGTATTATTATTATCGAGTAATGTTTTGATTAAAAAAATTACCACATTGTTTAATCAAAACATGTAATTTTTCTCTAGCAAATATAAGGACAAGAGACAAAAAACAATTGATGAATCAGTGTAAGTGCACTAAATTGAATACAAAAAAAGAGTTGTCATCTTATCGCTGTGAAACATCAAAAACTGGAGGTGGAACAAAGCCAAACTATTTTTAATAATGCCAAAGAAGTATAACTTCTTACGCGCGTACATAAGTACACGCACCCTTTTTTTTTATCTGTTCTGTTACAGTTAAAAGAGAAAGAATTAAAATAAGAAACGAATTGCTTTTTTCCTTCTAATACAATATAATGAAATGTCATTGGGATAAGCTTCTAAGATTTCGTCGAAGGCATCGGTCTGGATATCGCGCTGCGTTTTGCTGATGCTGATATTTTTGAAATCGTACATATGTATTGACATTTTATGATTTGATCAAACGGTCAGAAGGAACAATTTGACACATGAAATTATTGTTTTTCGATATTTAAGCTGTAGCCAGGCTTGTAGTTTATATTTGGTTTAGTTTGTTGATTGCGTTCGAAGCTTAATATAAATTTTATAAAATCGTGTGTTTGTAGAGAAAAAAAATCTTGAATAAAGTACCCCAAAAAAACCCCTGGACACCTTTATTACCCCTAAATTTGGGGGGAAAACCCCCAAGTTGGCAACACTGTATGAAGTATAAACTATCAAGCTTACTACTGAGTACTGTCTGCTAATGATGTTTGACCATGTGCACAGACCAGGAATACCATCACTAATTCATTAGACTGATACATGACTTCAAGCTTGTATATGTCAAAGTGGACAATTTAACTTATGTTACAAGTACCGGCACGAAACTCTAGCGCTGACCGTTATTGCGCAGAAGTAAAAAATAAGGTACCTGAGGGGTCAGGGGAGCTAGCGGGCGCGCGTAGCGTCGATTGGCACTCCAGCCGCATTCCGTCCCCCGCGCGACAGTACACATGCGCAGCAATCCCCTCCACGTATCGGCCAGCGCTAGACTTACGTGCCGCTGCCTATACGTCTAGATTAAACTCCAAGGTTCCATCCTAACATAATTTTTTTAAGAAACTATGTACTTATTGCATAACGTGTTAGATTTAATATAACGTTTGACAATGGATAGTTAGCGTTTTTACATTTCGATATTTGATACAAAACTACTAAACAGATTCGAAAGCGCGTAGCAATATATTATGTAGTGTAAATACCAAAGAATTCAGTCTAGATTTACTACATGATAATTGATTTTTTTAATAACTTCCATGAATTTGCGGTAGCATCAGTTTGCTGCACCAGACAAAGTGATTAGGGCAATGCCTATATACCCATATATATATATTCAAAAGTAACACTTCTTATTGCTATCATTCTGAACCGTACATAGCGTAATTTATTAGTATTTGAAAAACATTCAACTGTAAAATCAACCAATGTACGCGGTGCTTGCCTCGACGTCCGCAAAGGCCACACAGCGTTTATTCTAGATTAATTCAACCGACACGTGAATGCCTCGATTTTCTTTGACCTACATCGAGTTATATCGCAGTCACGTGTACGTCTGTTATATATTATGATCTACAAAAATACAGGCAGGCAGCTGCTGTAGATTTATTAGTTTCCTTCAAAGTTCATATTTCTATTTCTTGGGGTTTTTGATGTTGGTTAAAAAGAGATTGTTAGGATGATTCATATTCACCTAAACCTTTGATATCCTATTAACCTAGTAGGTAATGTTATACTCATAATAACTATAGTGTTTATCTGTTATTAAATAAAATTTCTTTATAGCCACGCCATGACTGATATGCGTTTAAACTTTAAACGTGCTACTTTTACGATCTTTTCCTTTCCGTATAAACAGATAATAATTGTGCATATAGAGGTTAGTGCACTAAATTCAAATTTCATTTCAAAGTCGAACCTTTGGGCCAACACGGCTCAAGGGTGTTAGGCCGGCCCAGTTGGCCCCAATATTGGCCTCACGCTATTCGTCCACGTGTGGATCTAGAAAATGGCATTGGTCCCAACGTTGGGGCGAGTGTTGGTAGTTGGCCGGCTCGTGTCGGTTTCATCAAAGGAATCTGCGCCAACGCTCGCGATCTGTCCACACGTTGGCGCTTTGCTTAGTTCTGTTACAGTACGAGGAGTGCGTACGTCGAGCGAGAATGGCTTCCTCATCCACAAAATCGCCACCGGCATGGACAAATGAAAAAGTAATAGAATTTATTGAACTTTATCAAGCACATCAATAAATGGGACGCAACTCGAAAGGATCATAAAAATAAAAATTTAATAGCTGATGCATGGCGCACCATTCAACAAAATATGGGAATGAATTTCTCAATTGAAGATTTTTAAAAAAGCGGAATTTTGACTTTGACTGGCTTTTTATTTTTCTCAGTAACAAATATAAATGTGCATATCATTACTAAAACGGTAAGCATTTCGATTGTATGGACATTCAATTGGCCCTGACGGGACAGAACTATTTATTAGCAAGTGTGTAGCCTCCCTTTGAGTCAGTTGGTGAGGTTGGGCAAGGGTGTTATCCTGTTTTCTAAGCAATTGATTAGAATAAAAATAATTTTACTATCCTATGTCATAAAATCTAATAACATATCTACTTGGTGCACTATGAGTGTTCATTGGTTGTATTTCATTTACCAATTTATAGTGGAAGCTAATTTGTATGTAGGATGATCCATGGATCACAAAAATCACCTACGTAGGGTCTATAATATATTAATATTAAGAACTTTGTTTATTGGCCACAGTCAATTGGTTTAATTGGTATATAATATGTGTTCCAATTATTTTGCGACAAAAATTCGTTCTTGCTTCAGGTACATAATTATATTTTGTTCCTCACATAAACACAAAAATCTAAGTTAAAATTTCTTCCTAAATTACTCTCTCTAGTCTCTTAAATATGAAATCTAAAATTGGATAAAATTGAACTCTATTGCACGTACGACCGTTTAAGTCTAGATTGTTCTCGATTACAATGTTTAGATTTTAAATTGCGTAGACTCTTCATAAGATAACGTTCATTGCACAAAACTTTTTAAATAAGTTTACTGGATTGGTTTATCAAAGACATACCTCGCTGCTATTGGCCGAAATATGCCTCGTGTCAGAGATTCGTACATACAAAACTAACTGATTTTCCATGCTACGTCAAGTTTGTGCTGGTTATGTAGGAATAATTGAACAGTTAAAATTATATTTATCTCTTTCTAACTCACACTACACGTAATGTAGCGATATGTTTTATCTCGTTTTGGCTTTGAGTGAAGGTCCCAGAATGTTCTAGATGTTTTAATGTATAAATTTTGGCGCGACGGCAACATTACGTTTCATTCATTTGTGAAGTAGATAGTGTGAACTTGTGAGTTGTGTTTGTGCGTGGTTATTTTAGTAAAATCTCTAGTTATTTGTGGATTTTAACAGAAATATAATTCTATTGTAAGTATATTTTCTATTTATGTGTCTTAACTATGTGTTTTGTAATCTGATACTCCGTTAAAGTACCGATAATTTTCAAAGTTCTAGAAATTTATTGAACCTAGTGGATCATCAGTGATTTCCTAAAATGGTGTTACGTGTGCTCTAATAGAAATCTATTTCTTTGTTTTAGGAAAATGGGGAAGGATTACTACAAAATATTAGGACTGAATAAAGGTGCGACTGATGATGAGATCAAAAAAGCGTATCGCAAATTGGCCCTCAAGTACCATCCGGATAAGAATAAGTCGGCTGGAGCAGAAGAACGGTTCAAGGAAGTTGCGGAAGCGTACGAAGTGTTATCAGACAAGAAGAAGAGAGAAATTTATGATGAATGCGGTGAAGAGGGACTGAAGAGTGGTGGCAGAAATTTCAAAGGTACTGGCGGTCAATCCAACGCGTACTCGTACCACGGCGATGCATGGGCTACATTCGCCCAGTTCTTTGGTTCAGCAAGGCCCTTTCAACCATTCTTTGACATTAACGGTAGCGGTGGAGGCAACTTTTTCGATCGTGACATGGACGTCGATCTGGATCCTTTTGCTAACATCGGAATGGGAACAAATAGACCAAGCGGCCCTGGCGGCGCGTATCGTAGCCATAGCTTCAACTTTCATGGATCACAACATCGGAAAGACAGGACACAAGACCCGCCAATTGAACATGACTTGTATATGTCGCTTGAAGAAATTGCTAGGGGCTGTGTAAAGAAAATGAAAATTTCAAGAGGAGTCATTCAACCAGATGGTACAACAAAGAAAGAGGATAAAGTATTGACAATCCATGTAAAGCCTGGCTGGAAGGCAGGTACAAAGATCACATTCCAGAAGGAGGGAGATCAGGGAAGAAACAAGATTCCAGCTGACATAGTATTCATTATTAGAGACAAACCAAACCCATTATTTAAACGTGAAGGCAGTGACATCAGATATACAGCAAAGATATCACTTAAACAGGTGTGTATTTAATTCTTGTTATTGTTTTGTTTATTGTTTGTTGTTGAATCATTATTATCTAGTTGGTTTTTGTCAGTGGGATTTCAAATAGTTAATATCTGATGAGTCATGAATTTGTAGTAAAAACCATGTATATTATATAAATATGCATGGCTTCTGGCAAGAAAAATAAGTAACATACTTATAGTTTTAATGAACCTTTATAATTTTCAGGCCCTATGTGGAACAATTATTGAAGTGCCAACAATGTCCGGAGATAAATTAACAGTAAATCTACAAGGAGAAATAGTTAAGCCCTATTCAGTGAAGCGATTCCCTGGTTATGGCCTCCCATTCCCCAAGGAGCCAACTAGGAAAGGTGATCTACTTGTGGCATTTGACATCAAATTCCCAGACAAACTGACTCCTGCAGCAAAGGAAATATTGGAGAGCACTTTACCAAACTATTGATAACACAAGATTTTTGGGAGAGTGGAAATAATTTCTGGATGATTTGGGACTTACCGTAACATAAGTTCTGTTTGGTAGGATCTGCATTTGTTCAATTTGCAAAGTGAGCGACATTTAAATAATTGAGCATTTTGGTTATGTGTTCATTGACAATCCACAATTTACTCAATGATTTTATATTCATAGTTATTCTTGCTTCATATTTATTATATTGTGGATAAAAGTTTGTATGGGTTGAAACTTTGTGCGTTTTAGTACAAAGAGTTTAAATTTGTGTCAGTGAGTGTATTTAAAATTGACAATTGTAAATATTGAACATCATGTAAATATTTAGCAACAATTATAAGTTAGGTTTCAGTACTTAGAAATCTAGCTCTTGTTTAATAGTACTTTGGGAATGCAATTTTGTCTTTGTACACAGATTAATCACCAGAAACATAACATATATAGAAATTTTAAAACAATTGTTTAATGGAGTTGTTCAAATGTCAACATGTTCGAAGAACAATCAAAATTGTATTTTTTAATCTGTTTGTACCCAGCAAGATTTTGTTTCAAAGACTGATCATTGTAATAGGTTTAATTGTAAGACAAAACTTATAATTTTGCCCTTTAAAATTAGTTAAATAAAAAAATTTAAATTCTTTATGGCTTTTATTTAACCTGAATATGTGTTGACCTCAGTGTTTACTGTAGAATAGAGAAAAATCGTCAAAAATAATTTATTTAGATTTAATAAATAAATGACTACTGTCTGTTTTGAACACACAGGTGTAATGAGTGAATATCTGATTCAAGGTAAGAAACCTTTAAGAGTTCACTGTATCAAAATCTATTGTTGCTTGCCTATTGGTAGGGGAGCCCACGATGCTAAATGGGGATTTACTCGAGCGTCGTAGAGACCTATTGGGATACAAAGCTTAGATAAAAAGAAGAAAAAAATGTTATATGATAAATTCCTTTTCATCGGTGGGGGAAGCGGCTATAGATAGTTAAATATGTAAAAAAAAACTGTTGCATGGACATCCTCGAGCGCGTCAGATATTGATAGCATCTATGCCCTACGTATTTTTAATAATGTACGTATGTTAATCTGATCGTTTGCATGATGCGGGTGGTTGTATTTAAGGGTTGAAAATTAAAAAAAAAAAAATTTATCGAGCGCGTCAGATTTTCTAAGGGAGTGTTAAGTGCACCAAAAAAAATCTCTCATTCACTAATCTGACGATTTCGATGGGACGCAAACCCACAGCCATTTTCTTAATTTGCAAAAAAATCGCAATTTTGAAATACTCAAGCGCGTCAGATTAAGATATATGTGGTTCATCTTTATGTTCTAAACGTACTGTCTCATAATCTGACGATTATCTAGAGGGATTCGCCTGATCTGACAAAAAAAATAGAAAAACGGTTCACCTAAAGGGCCATCCCTGCAACTTCCCGCTAATTCCATTCCTGGGCGCTTAAAATTGATATTTTGAGCTCGCTGAGTTCAAAGAAATAACATTTCTATGCATTTGAGCTCTCCCAGCTCGAAAGTCTGATAGAAGTTTCATAGAACACTATTTTTGGAATTTTCAAACCGCAATAACTTTTGAATGGATCAAGCAATTTTCACGCGGTTGGCGGCATTCGACGCAGTTTTATCATTCTCATAAGTAATTTTGCAATTTTAATTGATCGAACCACAAATTTCGGAGTAATCCCGAAAAAACACTTTTTCGGGTTTCTTTCATGTACGATATCTCTCGAACGAATCAACCGCTTTTGACCAGCTTGGTGGCGATCGACGTGGTTTTTCAAGCTCAAAGGCGGATTAGTTTTTGAAGTTGATCGATAAAGAAACCACTTAAAAAAAAATATTTCTTATTTTTTTAAGATTTTTCAAAATTTCTCAAAATCTATCAGTCCGAATCGGTTCAAATTCACAGGAAATGTAATTTTGAGGGAAATATTTTGAACGCCGTTTAGTAGATTCCGATCGGTTTAAGGAAATGTAGGCATCACGCAGCTGCACGCATTTAACTTTATCGACGAATTTTTGTTATTTCGGCTTGCGGAAATCGTCAGATTATATATTTTTCATTATTCTGGAATTATTTCCTTCAAAATAAAAGAAAAATTAGCTACGCTCGAGAATGTCGAGATGACGTTTTTTTTACAACTTTGTTGCCCTCCCTTTTTTCCGTCACTCTCAAATTGTCAGATTAGTGGAATATACACTTTTTAGGATGTAATTAACTCACCCTACCTTAATCTGACGCGCTCGGGAATTTCTGATGGTCAATTTTTTTTTACTAATCTGATCCTGTCTCCTTCACGCGCGGCCTTATATATGGGCCTCATATTTTGTGGAGGTACTTAACCTGGTACAAGTGATCCCCCTATATAGTAATCTGCCGCGCTTTAGTAAATCCCGAAATCCCCTCTTGGGCTCCCCTACCAATATCTTCATACGGACAAATGTCTAAATCCTGTTTTCCTTGCTAGAATGTAAAATTCATTAGGTCCGCATTGTATACATACATACATGGACAATAAATACTCTAGTCCTTGAATTTAATTCATAAACATATTTTTCTATTCATATATTTTTGTACTGTCTGTATAAACATGATTTTGTTTAGAATATACAAATAAGCTACTGTTATGATGTTTAAGTTTTGACAAATATTATAATCGTCATTATTCTAAATATTATGATTGTCTATTGGATAGTCGTAAGAGCCAGAATTCATATGGATAAAAGAAGTTACTTTCTAAAAAAAAAAATACAATTTTAAAAATAAGAGAAGCTTTGTTTAGGTGTAGTAAAAAAGATATTCATGTTGTACTTATGTGGATACCAAGTCATTGTGGTATAGCGGGTAATGAAACTACTGACTCTTGTGCAAAAGGTGCTATTTTCTTACTGCGTACTCCCACCTTTTAAAATCCTGGACTATTGATTGGCAGGGCCGCGCCGCCCATGTGTGCGAAGTGTGCGGTGCACACAGGCGCTGATACAATAAGGGCGCCGCCACCGAAATTATTTATACTACACTACAATATTCTTACGTACGTTTGAAGTTTCATTTTACGCTTTAGGTTTTAGTTTACATTAATTACTCAGAGCTTAGCGAATCAAAAGAAAGGCCGCTGGTGACCGCCGTGAGTTTTTTGAGTGTGTTTATGTCTTATGATTTCAATAATATGCCGACATACCTTGATAAAATCCAAAATGAACTATTTTTTATACTCGGTAACCAAATTCAACATTTTATTTTAAATTTATGTCGAATTAATAAATATTTTTCAATAATACTGGATTGTACTACTGACGTTTCACACGAAGAGCAAATTAGTATGATAATAAGATTTGTCAACTTTAACATGTAAACTAGAAAGTTAAGAATAAGAGAGCATTTCCTAGCTTTCCAATTTATAATAGCACTTTCTGCTCAATCGTAGATACAACTGGCGCTGGAGTAACGTCATTTATAATAGAAAAACTAAACGAAATTAATTTGGACATAAAGAACTTAAGGGGGCAAGGCTATGATAATGGCTCAAATATGCGCGGTAAGAATATTGCGGGATGTACGAGTAAATCTCCGCACTTTTTATGTCCGTGCGCCAGCCATAGTTTAAATTTAATAATAAATGACGCTGCACATCTCATACACGACTGCGTTTTTTAATATTGTGCAAGAACTATATAAATATTTTTCGTCCTCTACTAAAAGATGGGATTTATTACAAAGATATGTCATAAATCTGACCTTAAAAACGGTTAGATAAAAATAACATCATAAATAAACTATGTAACAATTTAATTCACGTTTTATTTTTCACGGCAATTGGCCAGCGGACGTTTTACCTATTTAAGTGGATTAAACTAAAGAAAAATTTTCTTTCAGTCAAAATTAAAAAATACATTGAAACTTGAAGATTCTTAAAAAATAGGCCGAAATATAGAAGGAGTTCCCTCAAAGGCCTGCAACACACCCGCTAAAAATGTCTATGAGATTCAATGACTGCCATTTTTTTCCGTCCCTAAGGCTCGTTTGACCCCTATAGAAAAAGGAGGCGCTTCATGGGTTTCGCACACAGGCGCTGCCGGGGGTCGGCGCGGCCCTGTTGATTGGCAATCTTCTAAAGAAAAGACTGGCAGGCACTATGCTAATATTCAATATTCAATCCCTTCTTCGCCGTGGTTTTTTAAACATAAGTTTTTAAGCAAAAAAGTCACGTCTATAATCTGCCGTCTTAGTATAGGGCACGCTTGTACTCCCGTTCACCTAGCCAAAATTAAAGACAGTTCTCTCTGTGAGTGTGGTATGGACGAAGGCTCGACAGACCATATATTATTCAACTGTTCTTTAATTAATGACTCGTTATTTGACCATCTTTCTCCAAATTTCCCTCGTCCATGTAACCTTAATTCCCTACTTTCCCTCCCATCCAGCCCTATAGTCAAAATTTTAGGGAAAATTATTTCTGTTAATAAATGAAAGTAAATAAGATTCTCCCCTCTATACCTTGTGGCTTGTAGTATAATGTTAACCTCTTGTATATATTATTAGACGTCTGTATGTGTTCTTTATTGTGACGTCATTTTTGTTTTGGGTAACTCTGCTTAGATTAAATGCAATCCAATCAATCTATCCTCACCGTGTTAAGACTTAGAACACGACATTGGCGGAATAGTGATTCACACAGAAGTCGCCATTAAAAAAAAATAAAGTGAAGTGAAGTGAAAGAACTTGACATACCTACCTTTTTTTAAGTTCATCAATTTGATTTATTTAAAAATGTGTATATCCTTTAAGAAAATTTTCTTTGTTTTAATGCTGTGGGTGTTTCTTTATCGCTCTATCCTATCCCTACGTCTACACTCTACATATACTTCAATACCTATACATAGTTTTATTAAGGCTGATGTCGAAACTTTGAGATCGCGCCATACAAAAACTTAATATTTAAGTAGAAATATAGAGTACCTGTGGAGTTGGAAAAAC